AGCCCGCCGAGCCGAGCAACGCTGCGAGCTGATCAGAAATACACTCACACGTAGCGATTCACGAGATGACTAGGATTTTACACGAGGAAGGAATCGATCACAGCGACTGCAACACTCACCCGATTTCGATGTAGAGCGGTCGATCGAAGGGTAACATCCTAACCTACAGTGTAGATACAGCAAAGCAAATTCATATCGGTGTTGAAGAGTATTATCGATCAAAGTGTCCAATGCTGGCTCGTTACATAGGGTGGCTCGCGACGCCGGGAGGGACGTTATCATGGCAGAGGTTTGCTACGTTGCTAATGATGTGTTACTCAACGGCCTCATCTGGGTTGCCAAAGAAGAATGTTGCTGAAGACGCAAGAATCTGGCTACAGACATCCCGTCGTCGATCGCCCATTGTCAATCGTTATTGATGCACATACTGCTTGGGTCCAAAGTCCTTACGTGCTGGGTAGGCTGGCTAATTAAGCTTTCTTCGATAGACCTTCGAAGGCTTGCATTATAGCTATACGACCTCACTTGTTCCCAGCAGCATATTGTACGGTTGCATGCTTTGAAAGCTCACCTCGACGATGGCTCAGGCGATTCACAGCCGCCGCGCTGTGAGGGAGTCGCCGATGTCTTTGCGTCTCGTGTACTGACGAATTTTGTCTGAACGTTTCGGCTCTGCAGCGTCTGAAAGATCCCACTTGAGAAGAGTTAACAGGAACATAACAGAACCATCTGCCGACACATCAATGAGATGTAGGTATCTCAAATTGACTAGACCAACTTGAGGCGCCTGCACTCTCTTACTGCATTTCCAATGATACCTAGGTATGAGATCATCTGGAAAGACAACGTTTAACCTGCACGTGGGATGCTTGTCATGAGACACAACCCTACCGTCCAACGCAGAATTGTTCTCGCCAGGATCCCAGGATCCCCCGCATATTGACAGCAGGTGCCGTGCATCCTGCAGGAACTGATTGGCAGTGCATTGCGCACATGAGAACGGAGGCTAGTGGATGTCTGCATATCTGCTGAGAAGAGGTATCAAATGAGAAGTCGAGTATGAAGTGGATCAGACGCAGGAGAGTGGATGACGACCTCCATGTTGTGGAAATCCGGAGATGACGATTTGGACAATGAAAGAAAGACGTCCACACGTCGCGTTGCATGCGGATGAGCAGCAAAAGTCAGGCATGGCGCAGACACTGATCTAAACGCAACCATGGACGTGAAGGAGGTGAACTCCGACCTTATGATTGCTCCGCCGTCATGGCGTGCCAATTCTATGTGCAGGGCGCCGAGCTTCCGCTGGGACGCTGTCAGACCGTTGCTTCACAAGCTCGTCTACGTGCCGTCAAGAAGATTAGATCTGACCGACATGCCCACAGCGACCAACATCGCCAAGGAAGGAGTCAAGCCTGCTGATACAAGCACGAACACACAAGTTGACAAACAGTTTGCGCAGGCAACGTCAATGCGCGGTCCTGGGCGCGCGATTCGCGCAGAATCGTACAGCAAGAATCAAATCTCTCCGTCAGCATGAAGTCGGTCTGAAGCAACGCGATTTCTCTCAAAATTCGGTACGAATACCGACCATGGCGCCGGGTACCTGACTCCGACAAGGCCGATGACAAGCTCAGCCCTTGATCGGAATGTGTCAACCTCATTTCGGCGGTGCGATCATTCTGGAAACACTTCAATACTAGTCCTCCGTGCGAGCCATGCTCCTGCGACGCCACTGTGCGGGAAATTACTGGTCGGAGCCTCTCATGACCACACCTTCATTGTGTGTTTTCATACGCCACAGGAACAAATTTTCTCTCTGTCAGAGAAAATGCGTGGCACGAAAACCGATCATAACTTCAGCTTCATGGGCAGCGGAGATGTGTCAGATTGATCGCGCTTCTTCACCTGCGTCAAACGTGTGTGATCGCGCGTCTACCATGCTGAATAGACTCATGAGTTCTAGCAGTCGTGGGAAATGCTTCCTTCTCATTGGTGTTTACGTTCGAATGGCTAGCCTGGATCATCCCTAGCTATGAAAACCACACAAGCCTCTGGTAATTCCTTGAGGTTTCCATCCGTGGTCACATTCTGGACGATCGTAGCCCGGTCTACCATAATTCAAGCAAAACGTGAACATCCACTAGGTTCCATGAATAATGAAACCACTCACATGAGAGAGCCTGATCTTGAGAGATTGACGATATCAATTTCGTCGGTACGCAGGCACGCCGGAGGACTTTGGAGATATGGTAGAAATGAAGGAGATACAACGTGCTTCGAGTCAGACGCCACCTCGTCCTCGATTGTCGTCCAGGCATGCACTCGGCATCGTCATGTGGATGTAGAATGAACATTGGTAGGGTCTAGCATGTCCTGACACACTGTTTGTTCTTCTTGGAAGCGGCAAACCATATGTAAGTCTTTGTGTACGACAACTTGAGATTGACATAGAGAAATACGTCTATTTGACACTTTGTTTCATGACTGCAGCCTCGTCGCCAGTCTTTTTATTTCAAAAGCATGGGGCATCACCAGCAGTAAGATTCAAACTTTAGCAAGTAGATCTAATGGACGCAATATTCACATCAAAAATAGCTGTCGGCAAAGCAAGGATGGCCAGTGACCGCTGCATAGAAACGCAAAGAGTTGCTTCCAGGGCTGTTAAAGATCCAACAGCACATGACGAAATGTCCGTTCGGCAGTGAGCTCACGTATTTCGAAACAACCATGAGCAAGCATCTTCACCACGCACTGTCGAAGCAACAGATAACGATGTTGGTCGAGACCAGGAATATCGCAAATTATATAATTGTTGGCTTACTGGGAGTCACACTTCCCACTGACACCCGAGAAGGGAAGCAAGTATGAACTATGAAGGTCCAGATAATTTACTCTAGCAAGCATTTGTAACTCCAACCCGAAGGTTGGGTTGACAGACCCAGCCCACAGCCTTTCCCATCTACAGAACGCAGAAAAGGAGGACTGCTCTCCGTAAACGAAGACCTTGTGGTATTTCCGTGAGGCTAAGTAGCTGGGTTGTCGGCTTGCTTTGGAGAAAATCATTCAACTCAATTTGCAAGAAATAGTTGAACACGTCAGGCCGATGGCGACATGTGCTTTCGACCTGTGTCAATCGCTCCGTTCCATGCCGCTGACTGTAGAACGGCGAGTGACGAGCGAAATGTCGGGGGAGCAGTCCATATGCTCCTTGTAAACATGAAGCACGCAATCTTATGGCATGTCGAAATTGTCCAGGTCGTACATGAAAATCATTGTCGCGCTTCCGAACAAATGTGTTGGAAAAGATTTCCTAGCTCGTTAAGTAGAGCGTCGCCAAGCTCCCGCCGGCAAAACTTCGGGGAATGAGCTCACTGCTGCACGCAAGAGCCGTGAGCTTCACATGAGAGGAAATTACTGTCACTGTAGTATGTAGTCTTGCATCGCGCTCAACACTCTGAACACTGCATTGTGACATTACCCATAGCAGAGTACAGTTTCAACACATTCTGTAAAAAATACCAATATCATCATGGCCGACATGGAAGTGGATGAAGCACCCCCGGCCTCGCCCAATGAACCTCGCAAGGGTGGCCTTGACGATGCGCGCACGACTGAGAACGCGACTGCTGTACGAAGCATTGAAGGATGGATCATTATCGCCACCAATGTTCACGAGGAAGCTGTAGAGGAGGATGTGACTGATCTCTTCGCCGACTATGGTGACATCAAGAATATTCACATGAATTTGGATCGCAGAACAGGATTCGCCAAGGTATACTCTTTATCAGTCGGATTCGAGCATTGACAGTGCATTGACACTCAATGTACAGGGCTATGTTTTGATCGAGTATCCAACCTTGGAAGAAGCCAAAGCTGCAATCGAAGGCGCAAACGGGAAGCAGCTCATGGAGCAGACCCTCAAAGTCGACTTTGCTTTCGTTCGACCTCCGCCTGCGAAAACGCAGACCGGACCGAAGACTGGTAGAAAGAGCGGCAGACAGCGGAGTCGAAGCCCGGGAGAGCGACGAGGTGGCCGCGATGGCGAAGACGACGATTGAAGCACTGGATAAGCAGTTGCGCTGCAAAGATATGGCAGGCATTGCCAGTTGTGCTATACTGAGGAAGTTTTGGTAGTTGCTAGTCACCGGAAATTGCAGCAAGGTAAGTTCGAGCGCCAACCTCGCGCTCATACCGCCAGGATGGACATGAACGCTGACAAAAATTTACAGTTTGCTTCCAGATTGTCTTGATGACGGTACATTTCGCGTGACATCCCATATCACTATCTTTCGTGCCACGCATTTTATTCGCCGCACGAGTACTTGACCCGCGAAAGGCTCTTATCGCTGCAAATCAGATCCTCAAGAGGTCGTCGTCAGACATTGTATGTAGCTAGCCGCGTGGAAATAGTTGCACTTCATTCGCTGAACTTGTCCTCGACAGACTATCCCGCCATGGGTAGCACTCATTCTCGGCCGACAAGACAATCGCGCTCAACCGGACAAGACGAAAGTGTGCTCTCTGCGCAGAACAAACCCGAGCGAAGCCACAGCGAGCATTTGCCGCGCAGACCTTCGCTCGTTCACATTGGTCAACAGACAGTTTCTCGGCCACAAACACCTGCTCCAGCTTCTGAGCAACCCTTCTCTTTGGATGCTCCTTCGGCAGCACCAATCAAGCTCAAGCTTCGACCTCCTGTGAAAGAGCCTGATGTGATCAACACATGGGAGAAAATATCTGCGCCTGCGCCTGCGACTGACAACGGATGGAGGAGCTCTTCGCCTGATGACTATGGTGAAGGTTCTTCTACCGGCGAATACTATCATGGCGCACCAGCAGCTTTCCGATTCAGCCCCGAGCGGTCCAAAAATCGCCATTCCGGAATGCCGTTGTTGCCTAAAGCACCCGATAACGCTGACGTGGTCGAGCGTCGACCCAGAGTGGAGTTCACCCTCAGCCCTTACTCGACCCCCAGTGACGCCGAACATACCGAAACGTTCGATCTACAGCCAGACCCCCAACTAGGCCTGTCAGTTAAATTGATTGACATTGATGCATCTGCTTCCGACTCGCTTGGCTCGCATCCATCTGTGTTTTCAAATTCACCCCAGTTTTCGCCAACCCAAGATCTGCATCACCCGATACTCTCGCCTACTCCTGATCTAGAGCGTCCTAGTTTGGTCGTGCGATTGAAGCTGCCCAAGCAGGTCAACAGTCAAGCATTGGCCGAGCGTGTGCCGCGTGGCGTGGAGATTAGCAGTATCAGCGAACATACTCGGCGTGCGCAAGCTCAGTTCCGGAGGATGGCTGCTATTCGGCATTTTGTCTTTGGAGAGCCCGCGAATGAGGAATATCTGTCCCATATATCTTCTGCGCAGGACGAACAGATTCCCACAGAACCGCACCGTCTCCGCAGAAGTTCATCGGTCACTGTGATTGCGAACAAGGAGAATCTCCCTACTCCGACGCGGCGAGCACATTTCATTCCACCGCTATCTGAGGCTTGTTCGGGTGAAGTGAGTGGGCGGAACAGGGACAGTGTCGGAGGAGGTATAATTGACGATACGGTCAAAATTGAGCACACCGCGGGACCGATTAGATTGAAGCGCTCATCATCGTATTGATTCGTAGCAATTGAACGCACGGCGACAGCCTTAATCACAACACCCACTTCGTGGACTCCTCTTGGACTATCCCACTATAGCTCTGTGTGTCTGGAATGTTGAATGACCACGACTTTTGGCATGATCGTGTAATTTGGTCACGTGCCTTGAATGCGACGAAGGACGAATTTCTAAAATCCTGGCACGCGGTCGTATACAATTAACGACGATTTCGACCACCTGAGCGATCATCATTAGATTGTACAATCAACCACTAGACACAAAACAGACGGATCGCGCAGCACTCATAACGGAACTTGCTCTCCACACTCGCCATCATGACTAAGTCAAAGGGCAAGCGTAACAGGCCGACGCTGGAAGAGCTTCTCGAGCGGCCTTGGTGCTTCTACTGCAACAAAGACTTCGATGACCTCAAAATTCTCGTCGACCATCAAAAAGCGAAGCATTACAAATGTCAGGTCGCGCACTGCAACCGGAGACTGAACACAGTTGGTGGGCTGCGGGTACATATGCAGCAAGTCCACAAGGAAGAGTTGAAATCTGTACCAAACGTGCTAGAAGACCGCGATGATGTGAATTTGGAAATTTTCGGCATGGAGGGTATTCCAGCACAAATGCGACAAGCCTACAACCAGCAGGTCACTCAAGCGTACTATAAACAGGAAGCAGAGCATCGAGCCCGGACCGGCAACAATTTGCACTCAGCTGGAGAACAGCCTGCAGCGAAAAAGCTCAAGCTTGATGACGATGCGCGCGCTGAGCTCAAGAAGCGTGTCGCTGAGGCCAAGGCTAAGCGTGAGGCTCAGAAAGCTGCTGCAGCAGCCGGATTACCGATGCCAGCAGAGACGGCATCACCAGCACCACCACCCAGCAATCCTTCGCCGGTATCTGGCGGCCTACCAGTTCCTCCCCCCGGTATGGACCAGCTGCAAAATAGTGTTGCGGGGCATGGAACTCCCAGTCCGATACAATTTCAGAATCCCATCATGCCCACGTACGGTGGCTACAATCAACAACTTCCTCCAGGAGTTATGCCGCAGTTTCCACCAGGTATGCCCGCTCATTTGCCACCGGGCATGCCTGCTCATTTGCCTCCAGGAATGCCACCTCATTTCCCTCAACTGCCTGGACAACCCCATTTTCATGCTCTCCCTCATGCCGTAAGTCCACCTGGATGGGGCGCTCGCCCCCCAAATTTTATTCCAGCACCAGTAAACGGTGGTCTGCCGACTCACTTTCCCGCAAACCCATCACTTCCGCCGAACAACGCCCTACCGGGATCCTTCTCTTCTTCCTTTGCGCCTCCGCCAGGTATTCATGGTCTGCCTCCAAATCTCCCAGCTAGACCGGGCCCGCCTATGTCCCACAATCTGCCCGCCAACGATGCAAACTTCGATCTTAATCGGTACGTACATCGTGGCAACATCAGGCCAATACCCTCTAACGCGACGTGCAGATTGATGGATGAGCAATCTAAAATTGCGCTAGATCGTCTGAATGGTCCTTCAGCTGCGACGGAAACCGGAGCTGCTATCAAGCCCGAAACAGGAAAGTCAAAACAAGAATTGCCAGAGCCGAGCGGCGAGAAACCTGCGAAAGCTTCCAAGAAGAAGCAGCCCACGAAGCTGGTGCTCTCGGACAACGAGGTGAGCTGGGAAGAACATCGCGCCGCTCTTACCAGATATCAGAGATCTCTCGTTTCAGATGTTGCAACTGCACCCGGCGAGGCGACTGATAATGCGACTGGACCGGTGGAGGCTGGTGCAACTGTGGCAGTTCAGAGCTAAGTTTCTTTGCCCGACCTTGTGATCCATTGTTCGTTCTGGTGTTTGACCAAGTTGAGGAACCCGGACATTGCAAGAACGCCCTTGCGTCAGGAATGTTACTCGACCGCGGAGTAAAATTGGAGTCAGCACCTCGACACGAAGAGAGACAGGTCTTCACGACCAGAATGGGGGGATTTAGGCGGCCGTGGAAGTCTTCCACTCAAGCTCAAGTTAAGTTTCGAGTCGTCTTTTGGAACATCACGATCTTGATCGTACAAGCGATCTCAAGCTGCTGACCAGGACACACCTTCACGCCTCACTTGAGGCACTTGCGAGGCGAATCTCGCACCCGATTCTGTCTACTTGGTCACCACAGCCTAGTCAACGATCGTCATCGTCGTTGTTCTCAAACATCAGACGACCAATGTTAGAGTATTAGCATGTAAGTCTTTAGGAAAAACCAAGTGAGTCTGATTTCCCATTACTACATCGCCGTGACCGTGAATAGATAGTAGACAAGGTTGCGACTTATTGCAGGAAAGCTCATCGCCGTGTTTCGCGGACAAGGGTCTCGTGACAATGACCTCGACTGTTTCAGCACGGGTCGTGGAGCTGTGGATATAATTCGGGTGAAAGAACAGCGCCGTCAACGGGGCTGCGTTGCTTTTGAGGCAGCACTGGTGAGCTATGAACCATGACGATTGCCGTGCGGAAACGTAGCTTCGCAACATTTCTAGCGACCCATACGTCTCCTCGAATTATTAGCAGAGCAGCTTTTTTTTTTAGCTAGCGAGCAGGTTCAGTGGGCCCAAAAATAGAAGTATCAACGATACGATTCGCGGTCGCGTGCATTTAACTCATGCTTGCGACTCAATCTACACATGAGGCATTATTCGTCGTCACCATGCTGAGACATGCTAAATCGTAGCAGTGATGGTCGGCAAAGACCAAGACAATGACGATGAAGAACGGGCCTGTGGATCAAGTAAATTATTGGACAAGCACGACAAGACAATAAATGATGAAGAAGCCGTGGACAAGACAAGATTTCCGATAGTATGGATCGATCCCGTTCGTGCCGTTTCCCAAGGTTGTACGTGTGCAGCTTTGAACCCACTCGCTCGGGTCTCCATCATATGTCCCCATCAAAGACAGTTGCATGATGTCTCTGCCGAACCCCGTCACTGGGTCTAAATAACGTTCTTCACGACAATGGATAAGTGTGTATTGCACTATCGAGATGAGTAGGTCACAAGGAGCATAATCATCCAAATATCTGAATGGAGTTATGGAAATGTAATGCACGGATGCATGCAAAGCGGTCGCGCACCCCGGTCGAACCCTCGTGCGGATCAACATACATGATACGAATTCAGGATCACAGATACGAGGTTCTCTCTTACATTAAAGCAATACCGATGGCGCAAACGGTTCGACAGCTCAACCGTTGACCCTGTACCCGGCATCATCTCGCCGTTTTCGACAGCACCTCGTTGTCATTACCTTTCGCATATCTGTTCGCCGGACTCCTTTGTTCTCAAGAGGAATGCTCTCCATGCCACTCGTTTATTATGTCCCTCATTGATCACTCGGCCTCCTTGGCAGCGTAACTCACGTGCATCCGGGCACATTTACCCAAAGAGACCTTAAGCCGACGGCCGATGACGACTTGAACGGCGCCAGCGATGAGCACCGCTAGCACCTAAAAGTCCCCCTCTTGTTCTGTACAAAAAAATCCCTTGAACTGTTCAAAGCTTTGGACAGGTCTCACTTCCTGTATGTGCCCCACTCCGCCATCCTGCCTGCGGTCTCTAGTGAAGCGAGCATGTGAGACCTTTCTCTTGCCAGTCAAGAAGAACGGAGGTCATGCCCATCGAGCTTAGTTGACTGTCGCACGGTCATCGGCACAACCTCGAAGAGCATACCCTTGTGAATATCGAATATGCACCTCTCAACGCGCTGCTGGTTTCGGCCTTTCTTAGACTGATAAGCGAGAGCTGGAGGAGAGGCAGGGCTCTAGCAGTGGCCGCCGCCCGCTGCAGCAGCGTGTCTATAGTATGTTCGCAAAAGATGCATTCGTTGACCCACAGGACCTTGTACTGTTGGTCTGGTCTAAAAAAGCGCCACCAAGGTCCCACCGAAGACTCATAATCACGAGCGTCGACAGTACTCCGCCGCCAGACCGCCCGATCCTCCGAGTTGGAAATGCGGTCCCGTCGGGCGACGATGCCCGCCAGCAAAAGACACTACGACTACCGGTTAATTATCGCCTGCATATGCTCTGCAGTTTGACCTCCCTGCTATCCTTGCCCTCTGCCCATGTCCCTCTGTCGTTAGACTCTGACCAGCCACGCCTTCGAAAACGCCATCTTCCTTCGCTGCCGATCTTCCAGTGCAAGTGATTGAAATTGCGGGCTCCTTCGTGAACGCTACTCTAGCTTGTCGTCGCGTCGTCAAAGGAGACGTCGCTGATGTAACTCTGGCTCCAAAAAGGAAATTCCACGCAATACAGACAACGAGACGAATCTTTCTCGCAACGCAGGCTCCCGACAGATTTTCGAGAAGACCTCCCAAGATCTTCGCTAACACAAAACTTCCTGCATTGCATCCACCCAATCCCGTCGCCGAACGTGTTCCAACAGCCCGGATCCTCCCAGATTGTGGGGATTACTCTCTCTTTGTCCAACACCGCTTTGTGCACACAACTCCCACCCCTCCCATCCGGAGTCTCGGGTCTTGGTCGACCTGCCCTCGAAACTTTCGACCCAAGCTCTCGGGTCCGTCGAGTGAGCTCTCAATTTCCGGGAAATAGTGCGATCTGGGACTTGCATTGCACGTACTGCTGCTTTACTGTGCGATCACCCTCGGAAAGGTCCAGGGCGGTGGTACACACCTCTGTCATTGCAGCGTCTGTCAAGGTTCACCGCGAGATCGTCGTCGTCCTTCGAGAACTTTGCACATTCGTCTCCCTCAATAATCCACTATCGCTCCCCATCCCCGTCGTTACCGTTGTCATTGTCGTTGCCATTGTTCTTCTTGACGTTGCGCATCTGCAAAAGGAATCACATCTGCGTTTCCGCCAACATGAGAGATAACGCTTCAGGAGATGTCCCCATCGTAAGTTGTCGTGTATCGCACCCTTTCAGAAGTTGAAGGTATGTTGACATATCCATTGCGAAGGACGATGACTATGTGTCGACGGGCTACGGAACCGGAGACAATTCCAGCTTTTTCTCGTATGCCTCTCTCTCTCAGCTATACAAAGCGAGTATCTGTATCGGTACCTGACTTGCTCACGTTTCTAGCGGACGGACAATGGCGACCACAACGAGGAATTATCGACATGAGAACGGTCGAACATATCATGCATATCGTACGTACAATTCCATCTCTCACGCGATGTGCACACGTTGACATCAAGACAAAGGTGATGGTGAATACTGGCAACCTAATGATGAAAAGTCCAACAACCACGAAGCGTTATTGTAAGTTTCGAACGGAGATCGTTGGAATATAAATGATCAATCTCGGTACTGATCAAAGGAATCTGCGCTAGACATCATATCTGTTTAATGAGTCTCGACGACAATCTATATCTTGCGCCTATCACAGATCCCGGTCGAATATTAGATCTCGGTACGTCCTTTGCCTTCTATGCACCATCTGGAAACTGTTCATGAATGGCAACTGACGTCTCTCCGTCAGGCACCGGTACGGGCATGTGGGCAACGTAAGCAAACATCTCATTCTCGACACGCGATCTGTTCTTCCGCTTTAGCTTGGTACCCTCAGACTCGATCCTCGACTAATTTCGCTTCTTTCATCAGTGATATGGGTGACCGCTTCTCCGGCGACGACCCAGAACGTCCCTATGCCGAAATCACCGGTACCGATCTCTCACCAATCCAACCAGGATCCCAACCCTCAAATTGCACATTCGAAGTCGACGATTGCGCCAGTGAATGGGTCTACCCTCCCGATACCTTTGGCTTCATTCACATCCGAGGACTGTACGGCAGCATCGCTGACTGGCCCGCTCTCTACGCCGAAGCCTTTCGCGCCTGCAAACCCGGCGGATGGATCGAACAGATTGAATGGGACATGGCGCTACGGGAACCTTCCGGCCAACTCACCGAGCACCCGGTGTTCAAGCAGTGGACCGACGACATCGTCCATATGGGCGAGATGATCGGAAAGACGATGAAGACCGCCACTTTGATGGCCGATTGGATCAAGGATGCGGGATTCGTCGACGTCGTGGAGAAGAAATTCAAATGGCCGCTTGGACCATGGAGTAGTGATCCGAAATTGAAGGAGATCGGACGTTGGAATTTACTCAATTGGGAGGAGGGTCTTGAAGGCTGGACATTGGCACATTATACCAGGGTTCTCGGAGTATGTCGTTGCCGTTCTCTCCCCCTCCAATCTTCTGGATGTTTCCATGTTGTATTGACGAAGATTTCGGGTTGCTAACACTTATCGCTTGCTCCAGTGGGACGCCGAAAGGGTCCACGATTGGGTGCAGTTGATCCGCAAGTCGATGCGCGACCGCAAGACGCATGTGTATCACGAGATGTGAGTTGTTGTTTTTTCTCTTGCCGTCACTAGAAACATACAGCAGGCTTACGACACCGGCGCTGGATGACTTCCGATATGCACACTCTTAGAGATCAATCGCTGACTTTTATTCCTGTGTATCAGACGAGTCGTCTACGCCCGGAAACCTTTGTCCTGAAACACCGAGTGCTTCGGATTGATTATGAACAACAAACATGCTTGGAAGGAGTGATGAATGACATGTGCGGGAGATACAATTCCCGATTTTCTCTGGGCGGGGTTTGTTGATTTTTTTATTACAATCGCTCGCGGTGGTTATGCGAGATTTTGAGCGAATTTGCGCATGCACAGCATTTATCCGAGGCGAAAAGAAGCCAAACGACATAGCACAGCATAGCGGAGTATGAACCTGGGCATGAGCATGATATAGGAAGATAGGATTATGTGCATATCGATTCATAGCATGGCCGATGGGATATAGCATGGTTGCATCGGGAAAAAATCTTCGTGGGAGAGAAGAATTCTGTTCACTGGGACTTACCTGCTGTACCTCTGCTTCGTTCGACGCGTTCCCAGCCCAAGCTGGAGGTTTGGGGAGAATAGTGATTACAGTGTTGATGCTCGCTGAGTGTAATGATCATCGACATTGACGTATTGGGAGATCGCGAGGCTTGAATGATAGTGATGTCGCGAACGGCATCATATCGCAGATTCATACAGTGATGTTACAAAGTCGTATGCAGCCATCTCAACATCCTACATATCTTACAGGAGCGGAGATCTTTAGAGCTTCGCTCGCTCGACGCCTTCCTCCCCAAGCAACGCAGATGTCCTCCAGGAGGTATAGTCTTCGGCACCATCCTCCACCACCAGCTTTTTGGGTACCACGACGGTTGTGCCCTTGTACATTTCGATTGAGTAAAGCTCACACTCCCAAATCTGGCCTGGCTTCAATACCTGCCCAGGCTGAGTATCATCAGTGGCCACTCTCGTCTTGATGCCGAACTCTAGAATGATCCCTCGATGATCCGTGGCGAAGATCTCATCAACGCTCGATTCGATGACAATGTGCAGCTTTGGAAAGGTGTCAGAAATGGGTCCGCCGGATTGCTCCGGATAGTAATGCTTGCGCCATAACAGCGTTCGGATCCAGTGCTCGTTGCTGCGTCTCTTGGTCTGAATGATGGTGAGTTCACGAGCGCGGAGACCAGGTATCATCGTTTCCAAATTCGCAGCTGAGAAGGGTAGAAATGAGCGGTCAGGCGCAGGGTTCACAGCGGTTTTCTTCGTGGTGCCTTCAGGGTTTTCTACAACGAGTGAGACGTCGGTTTCGGCTTCGTGACGTAGCGCAGCCTCGATCTGCCAATGCAACACTAGGTCGCCATATCGTCGGAGAGGTGATGTGGCTTTCGTGTATGCGCTCATTCCCAGAAACGAATGTTGGACGGCATGGGTGCGAATAACACCATATCCCAACATTTGCACATATCTTCGGCCTTGATCTCGGGGAAATGCACCATTTTCATCCACATTCGGAAGCACATGTTCCTGGAGGTATTTCTCTGGGTTCGGGAATAACGGATGACTAACAGTACCGCGGAAGATGGTCGGGATTGCACGCTCTTTGCACCAGGTGCCTGCGATCTCACATGCTAGCAACATCGCCTCTCGCACGAAGACGTCGCTGGGCCGTGTGTTTGAAGCGAATTGATTCTTGAGGCCGTATGTGCGCACCTGGACGACGGGGTCACCTGTGACCTCACGCCGACCCGCGAAGTATGGTACTGGGGGTCCGAGGCCAGAACGGGCGGAACGCGACATGACTGACGCATCAGCTTGCGCTAAATCATAGAACAAACCGCCTCTTTTTGCACGGACAGACATACGAGCTCGTGTCAACCGGTCAAGGGTGCGCATTTCGTCCAGCTGATCAGAAGATATGTTGTTTGCATCATTCGCCATTGACGAGCCGGAAAGGACATCGCCAGTCGACAAGACCACTGATGGCAAACCGGACTCGCCGTCAGTACCGATCAATTTGTTAAGGTCGTCATACGTGAGGGAAAGAACATTTCGAACGATGCCGTTCCGGATGCGGTGCTCAAGGATATTTCCAGCCTCGTCGAGCCGGGCACTGAACGTCATCACAGGTCGATTGCGGCCCACGTCAAGGTATCCGTGCGTCAGCCAGGTCGGCAACATTGAATGAGTGTATTCAGGCGTGTAAATCGTCTCACCCATGTGCCTCGCCATCTTAGCAAGAGAATGCTTGCGGTCGAAGAACGCTGTGGGATTGGCGATATGGAGGTGCATCCAATACTCCTGTTTGCCATCAGCACCGACACCTGCTTTCTCCACAGAGATGCCGTCGTCAATCTCCTTCGCTCCAGCGTCATCGACGCAATATACCGTTAGGTTTCCCCAGTCGTGTCGGAGATCCTGCATTGTGTCGGTGAGGGTCACGTCCTTGGTCCCCATATCTTCAAGCTTGTTCATGAGCTGGAGAAGTGGACGACTCTGTCCTGAGGTTGGCAAAAGTAGGTGAGAATTGAAAGAGTATTTGCCGCCATACGGCAATACGACACCAAGCTCCTGAAGAAAAAGATAGCCTTGAGCTTCCGTTGCACCTTCACGAATGTATAGCCCCGTTGCATGCATTAATAGTGGTGGCAATCCCATGAGAGTTGGTTCTATGTCAAATCTGCGCGCCGCCGCCCATGCGTACAAAAACCGGACGATAGCTTGTTCCTCATTGGTAAAATCAGAATGGCATGTCTCCTCAACGCAGCCTTTGGACTCTGTTATTGCGCGTTGTACTCTGCATGGACCCACATAGCTTTCCTTGGCCGGGAGGCGAAGCGCGCGAGACTTCAGCACTATGCCCTTTGCTTTTTTGATGAAAGAATCGATGATGCGGAAACCTTCACTCTTTGACTCCCCATCATGTGTCTCTCTGTTTACTACATTCTCCTGCCAAGAGCGAATCCACTTTTGAACGTCTTGGATGCCTTTGATGTCTTGTCGGCTTGGAATCTGTACATAACCAGTGGCCCGATGTTGGAAAAAGTCCACATTGAAAGCCACACCACCATTACGTAACGCTCTGCGCACAGCGCAAAGTGCTGCCGTTGACACTTTAGCATTTTGTATGTTCAGCAATGCTTGCGCGATGGACTCTAGAGATCCGTACCGCAAGTCGCTCTCATGTGCCAGTATTTCATGCGCCCGATCCAAACTGTCTGAATGGTGTCGGTAGATCTCGTCGGCCTCCTGCGAAAGGTTTGTGATCTGTTCGATAAGGGGTGCAGATATACTTCGCGGTGCAGAGATATCTTCGAATATTGCAATGTCTGCCAATTCCGTGATCTGAGCTTCGGTCTTGATAATCGGCATATAAGGTAGAATGGGCTTTATGAGCGAAGGATCCATCCAATTCTTTGCAATCCAAGGTATTTGAGCGTATGGTGAATGACATGTTCGACCAAAAATATTAATGAATTGGCCAGTCATGCCCCATTCCCCAACTGGGCGGATATGTACGGCAAGGATAGTTTTGCCTGCGGTACTCGTCGGTAATTCTACTAGATCTCCGATACCAAGCATACGGACTTCATCCATTGCGGAGCTGAAGTCAGACTCCTTCGATGAAGGAGCCGTGTATTCGTTGTCTACCTCCTCCTTGCTTGTAGCTGTGAGCAATGAAGAATGCTTCAAGTCGGGCAAGTGAGTGAAGTTCTCAGCTGCGGATTCGTCGTCGGGGTCGGCTCCCACTCGAAAATCTGCCATTGGATCATCGGCGCCGTACTGCTCTTCCCATTTCTTGAGCTGTGCGCGAATTCCGTCTGGATTGCCCTGTATCGAGTCGAACCCCTTGCCGGTTGTTAAGCCGTGCGTTGCATATGACTTCTTATTAGATGCAACATCTGGCAACCCCGGCTGAACCCAACCTTGCTGCTTCCTGTGTAACGATCCATGAGGCACGTCCATTGAGGCTCGACATCGAGGTGTGAACATGCCTGAATGGTAATGTCGAGCATGATTCATGAGCAGAGGAGATGGTCTCTGAACTCTTGATCTGGCAGGAGAAATGTTCGACTTTGCTGCATACAGATCTTGGAGCGACAAGGAAGCCTGCCTTCTCCGTGAAACTGCCCCGAAGTCATTGCTTGTTCGAGTCGATTGCGATGATTGATGTCTGCGAAGTCTACTCTGCTGCGAAGTGGCGTCTCCAACTAGGTTCAGACCCTGGGTCGTCCTATTCGCGAGTGCGAGCTTACACGACAGGCAAACAATTTCAGGTCTGCTGGCCCCCAGCCTTCGCGCTCCATAGACAGATATTGACATGGTAATCCCTCTATGCGAATCCACTATACTAAGGACTTGAGCAGAGGACAAGCGCAGGATCATGTGGATGATGCTGATCGTTGGCATGTTCGTTCAACATGTAATTCCCGATGAAATGCGCACAGACCTATTCCCCGAAACAGCGATAACCTCCGCGGAAGACAACCCATGGAGATATTATTGCTGTTGCAGACAGTGCTGTGCCTTCCGCATTGCGATCGATGACGGTTTCACGATTCATGTTTCAGGCGTAGCATCTGCGATGCTCAGACAATCGACCCACGAACATGGATTCCGATGAAATAACAGACACCCCGGCTCCATCAAGCCCGGCCAAGCAGCCGCTCATTCGCCGCGAACTACATGAAAGACTATCGATTAACCTCTTCGATCGCGTTGAGCTCTCCGTCATCACTGGCGCAATATCAGGCTTTCTGATTGGCACCATCAAGGGCAGCCAAGATGCTGGATTTCGCTTTCGTGCCGAAAATGCTCACCGCCTGCCTACATCTCAAAGAGGTTGGTTCCTGTATCACAAGAGCAAGAACTACAATATGATGCTCGGCGGTGTCGTGGAAGGCTTTAAGCAGGCGCGCAAATATGCTCTCTGGACAACACTCTTTTTCGTATTGGAGGAAGGCATCGATCGGGGCCGTACAAAAATTGTGAGGGACTTGTTGGAATGGAAAAGAAATGAGATTATAGAGCACGACAACGAGGCTATTATATTAGAGAGCCAACGAGACGCGTTATCGAGCGCCTTCGCTGGACTCGGCTCTGCAGGTATCTTCAGCGTCTACAACAGATTTCCGCTACCTACGATGTCGCGCACTATGAAGATGGGTGCCAAAGCCGGATTTGCATTCGGTCTTTTCCAGGACGGCCTGAGCCTACTCAAAGGCAGACGCATTGGCTACATTGAAGCGATCAGATATCATATCCTTGGTCTGCGAGATTCAGAGGCGAAGGAGGATCCGCCTGCGTGATCCAATCAAATGCGCGAATACATATCCGCGAAAGCAAGAGCGCATCGTAAGTGGAACCCAGAAACGATGCGTTTCCTGCCAAACAAGGATGCCGTGTGGATTTGGCAGTTTTGCCGTGCCCCCGAGGACGTGCCTCGTACGCATTCTCTGAAGATGAGATCAAGGTCGACGTTCTCTATTGCATGAAAATGCATCCAGAACGGCACCGCTGATGCTTCCATGACCTTGGACAACATGCAGCGTCAAAAGACGTGTTGAACAGCGTCCTGTGCAAGGCAAATCTAGAAACTGCGGGCATTCGGTACGCCTTCTCGCACAAAATGGAAAGAGCGGGGCTTCTTCTTGTCATCCGAGATATGGATGAGGCGATTCACGATGGACCTGGCCTTTCCCTGGTATACACGCTGCCGCCATTGCAATGCCCGAAGCATTGCATCTTATCGAGTCTCCTAAGCAGTGACAGCACGATCCGATTCGCGGCAGCACAGGCGTGAATAGCGATTTGCATGTCGCCCGTCATGTTCTCCGCAATGCGCGTCAGGCGAGAAAGACTTTACGATTCAGGATTTCCCGCAATCCGGTTTTAGCGTTCTTTAGCGCGAACATGTGCCCATGGGGATTGCCACTATATGTAACTTTAAGGACGCGACACTCCCATTAACTATCAATAAAATGTTAAACACTCGAAACCTTTTTCACTTACACGAATTATAAAGAATGGCACCCAAACAACCTCAAAGTGATGCCTTCGTCCTCGGGGTGGGGCTCACCCAATTCATCAAGCCCCGACAGCTCCGAGCATATCCCGAGCTCGGATTTGAGGCCGGTGTGAAGGCAATGCTCGATGCTCAGATCACTTACGATGATGTTGAGATGGGAGTCGCATGCTATTGCTTCGGCGATACGACCTCCGGCCAGCGAGTTTTCTATCAATTTGGCATGACTGGGATTCCAATCTACAACACCAATAATGCATGTGCGACAGGATCGACGGGATTACACCTCGCGCGAACACTTGTGCGGAATGGCGCTGCCGATTGCGTCTTGGTCATTGGCTTTGAGCAAATGCAGTCTGGAAGCATTAAAAGCACTTACAGCGACCGACCGAGTCCCATGGGCTTGAGTACCATCATGATGGAGAAGGAGTATGGCAAGCATGCCTCACCCAGAAATGCACAGTACTTCGCCAATGCCGGCCGGGAGTATATGGAGAAGTGAGTGCAGCGCCGATCCGAATCATATATCTGTCTATTCATCATCGCCATTGACTAAGTCCACTGACATTGATAATAGATATGGGGCAGAAGCCCGTGACTTTGCCGAAATCGCTCGTGTTTCTCACGAACACTCGACTCGCAATCCATATGCACAATTCCAGAACGAACATACCTTGAAGGAAATTGAAGACTCAACCATGATCCATTACCCTCTCACCAAGCTTCAATGCAGCCCGACCAGCGACGGTGCTGGTGCTGCCGTCATCGTATCGGAGCGCTTCCTGGCCGCACGTCCCCATCTCAAATCCCAAGCCATCCTCATCGCCGGGCAACAACTCCAGACCGACCAGCCCGAGCTCTTCTCCCGCAGCGCCATCGATCTCGTGGGCTCCGCCATGACCACCCGCGCCGCCAAAGCCGCTCTCGCTGAAGCCAATGTCGGCGTCCGTGACATCTCCGTCTGCGAGCTCCACGATTGCTTCTCGGCCAACGAATTGGTCCTGCTCGATGCATTGGGGTTCGCGAAGCCCGGCAAAGCCCACGAGCTCGTGCGCCGTGGCGACATCACCTACTCCGGCGACCGAAGCAAGTGCCCCGTCATCAACCCATCCGGCGGACTGATCTCCAAGGGCCATCCGCTCGGCGCCACCGGACTGGCACAATGCGCAGAACTATGCTGGCAACTGCGCGGATGGGCCAACAACCGCCATGTTCCTGCCAAGGTGGCTCTGCAACATAACCTCGGCCTGGGTGGGTGTGTCGTGGTCAACGTATACAAGAGAGCTGATGGCAAGGAGAACGTCCGCTTGAGCGATGAGCAGGCGATCAAGGGGACCAGTTGGTCGTATAATCCGGCCACGCAGGCTAAGACGCCGACGATGGAGGAAGCGGAAAAGGTGCGGAGCAAGAGATTTGCGAACGATTACGCGCTGGGAGACACGCCGGAGAAGATGCGTTCACGGTTGTGAGTGATAGTTATGTGCAAACCCCCCTCATCTTGTGTAACATGAGCTTTGCTTCTTGGATGGTCTACACATTTCGACTTGAATGATGATGAAATATGGATATTGATTTTGATCATTCTCTGAACGGATAACTTCAATTCATTACTTTCCCCAGAGAGAAGAGGAGGCCAAAAAGCAAAAGCGCAATCTGTTTCCCACAAAAGACGCCCTCTAACACAAAATCATCGTCAAATCTCATGCATCACATCATTTCATGTCCAAACCCAGAGAGATCGAGAGAGAAAAATCATTTCGGCGTCAAATTCACTGAACCATCCTCCTTGAGAATCCCCACTCGGTCCAACCACACCCTTCCGCGAACATACTTATCCAGCTTCCAGTAGTTGTCCCTCAACTGCAACGCCAGATCGTGGCGCTGCTTCTGCGACGCCGCCGCCGCCGCCTCATCGCCCGCGATGAACTGCTTCCACCAGGCGCTGGTCACGGTGATATACTCATCGAGCTGCTTGACACGTTCGGCCCTCGCCGCTTCGAGGGAGGACTTCTCCTCCGCGGACAGCGGGCTGGGCTGGACGGGTGGTACCCACTTCCACTCCCAGGGGTCGCCGCCGCCCATGTATTTGGGGATGTCCTCGCGTGGGATGTACTCGGCGAGTTGGTCGAGGGTGCTCACGAATTTGACTTTGGCGGCCACGACGGGGTCCAGCCATAATTGGATGGCGCCCCAGATGCGGTTGATGATCCACGGCGCGTTGTACACGTACACGGAGCCTAGACATTCGGGGTAGTTGTCTTGCAGGCCGCTGGCCATGACTTTGAGAGCGTTCATGTCCTGGGTCGGAGATTGTTAGCGGTGTTCTATGTGCGTAACTGGATTGTACTCTGTTGGGCAATTGGGTGTGTTGAACTTACCATGTTGCGGAGGCCGAAGCCCGTCAGGTCAAAAACGATCGAGACGGAAGTGATCGGTGGGCGCAGCAACATGCGGGTGCTCTCGACCTCCATGATGGTCGCACGGAGGAAAGCCTCCTTGCCTTGGGCCCACTGGTCATGGAATTTGACCCGAATGTACACCAACGGGTGGCCCTTCTTGTCGGCGCCGTGGACGAAAGATTCACCGCTCGAGGTCATGGCACGAGTCTCTCGGGCGATTTTGCGTTCCGGTTCAGTCGCGTAGTCCTCGGGTCTGTCGAACGCGGCGTCACCGCCCTCCAGAAGCCCGGATTCGATCTTCTCCTCGGCACGCCAGTTCAGTGACTTCAGCAGCATCAGGAAGGAGTTGTCGATGACCCAGCTTCGTGCGCGGAGGAAGCGGACGAGGAGCGTGTCGGGGTCCTCATGCTTAACGTTGGCTCGCAAGGCGAACAGCAACGCCGCTGGGGTGGTCTTCTCGAGGGTCTGCTTGATCTGCTTGTTCTGGAGGAATTTCAGGTCGATGGGAATGTCTGTCCGCTCGGACAATGTGTTCAAGGAAGACGAGTGGTAGTCGGGCACCGTGCCATTGGTGAGGACATCGATGCGTCCCCAGAGCTCGGCGAGAAGCTTGTGTTGCTCGGGAGTGACCTCCGCGACGATGTTGTCGAGTACGAAGTTGTCAGACATCTTGATAAAAGGTACCACTAGGAATTGGAGGTGATGTTGGGACGACTCGAGCACGGAATGTCTCGTCGGAGTCTTTATTATTATGGACTTCTCTATTGTCCGAACTACTTCTACGCGTGTTTCACCATGCGACCAGGCAACAGCATTCTTTTCCACCCGAGACGAGCTATATTTCCTCATAGTGCACGCGGCTCGCATTGGGCGTCCGAGGTAGACCGATGCGCTTCAGATTCGCTACATCATTCGCGGCAGTAATGGTGGAGAAGTCGGCTTGCTACTCAAACAAGCACCACATCGAAGACATGCACTAGACTGCCCTGGGCAGTACCTGCGCAAGAGACGATTCTTTGATTGGCTTTGGCGTGGATCTCCAGTGATTGTCTTCCCTGCGATGGCTCATCATCCTGCATGCAGTGGATTGTGGCAGTGCTCGGCCGGCGTCTTGCCGATTTCACGATTACGATATACCGAGAGCTTGTGATTTCGCCAGGAGGTATCTAACAAGCTCTACTGCTTCTTTAATCACGTATGCTCCAGTTGCTCCCGGTATGCATTCTATCGATTCGAACAAGCCCCTTGCAATGTATCCCTATCGTGTGTCACTTGACATCTGTAAATTGGCATTTCAATTGACGGTGAGGGGAAAGCGGGATGCCCTGGACACCAATGCGGCTCTGCGACGTTATAGAACGGTTCCCCCTCCATGGCATGGCATCACGATGAATTTCCGGCTGGACCTAAGCCGAATTTCATGCCCGGCAGCATTGGCCAAGGTGCATTGCAATTACAGAACAGTACCTAGGTAGTCAACAGTACTAATGATCACACTAGAGCCGCGCATGATGTATTCAAGACTTCAAGTGACCGCTTCTTTGCTGCGGCAGCGAACATGCATGTAAATATATAGACGCACACGTGTGTCTGGTATGACGGCTCGTTCGTCTGATCCAATGGAGATAAAATCACTGGCCGTCCTGCAGCTCGATCCTGAAGTCGATCACGTCGAGGCAATGGCTATGTATGTCACAGCAAGTAAAGACTGTATTTGCGACAAACGGTATCGCACGTTAATTGTATATGTCATCACTGCCATCATCTCCTTGTCGTCAGTGACATGACTTTCCTCTCGACACTGTTGTTGGTGAGACAATGGGAGATCTGGCGGAGAATGGGTTCGCAAGCTTGACCTGCTGCCCATGGATTTGAGCCGAGGTTCGCTACAAGACTGATCAAATCAACGAGAACCTTGGGAGGACTTATTACCTAGGTAGGTAGGTAGGTTCCTAGCAGATTCGATGAGAGGCGTCTCATCACGTGCGGATCGGGATTAGTCACTCAATGCGACTTAGGTAAGCGTTTCGTGAAGACAAATCACAGCGTTAGGGTTTGGGTTGATTCTCGTACTCGTCCTGCAATCGACCTAACACGCTCGTGTTTGGATTGTCGATGTTGTTGAAAGCGATGATCAAAACCCCTGTACTGGCTGCCTCGAAGCAATTTTCGTGTCGTATGTTCGGTTCTCGGAATCGGCAGATGAAGGGACTTGTACGCACATTTCCACGCTTATGGCGTTCCTTGCAAGGTCTCACCGTGATTGTCTGTTGCTCTCTTCGTATGAGAAATCGTCAGAATGTAGGAAGGCGGAGCCATTATTTTGTTCACAAAGTGCTAATCAACTGGCTACGTGGTGCAATCTCTGCAACGGATAAGACTGAACATGACGGCAACGCATTGTGCATGAGGCATGACACTGTGGTAAGCTCTCACGTCTGATGCACTGGACGACGGTCGTCGGACACAGCTCGCAAAGAGTCGCACGGAATTGACGCTGAGGTGTCCGTTGGAGGGACAACCTTCACGACACGCAGTCATCACGACATTCGTCCCATCAGAGAGGGTGATCAGTCGATCACGGATGAGTTCCGAGTGTCATGTGTCCAAGCATGCATTCAATAAGCCTCATTTTCGGAAGCTTTCCACCGAGAACTAGCCAAAGCAATTTGTTTGTCTGCAGCAGTACGCCTCGTTCGGAGCGGGGATGGCCACGTCAATAAGTGGACCGATTATTGCAGTGCATACGCATAAAGCCCCCATAACGGCAGCGTCATGCAGTCAGGGCATAACGGTCTTCATTGAGGCTTTCTCGGCTCTCCTTTGTCCGCTCCGTGGAACCATCAAAGTCGGGAAAGCCCAAAATCGGGCCGCACAGCATGTCAATGCCGAACGGTCAACGGTCGCGAGGCCGAAACGAGGATTGTCTAGAATCGCATGACGTCCTCTCGGTGACATACCGTTGTCTTGCCATGCGATGCGGTCAACAATAAGCGCTTGCCCAGGTGCGTATGAAAGTCGACAGGTAATACAGTAATTGGTGAATCGTTAGCATCCTGTACCGCTAAAGCTGCTCCGCCGATTCGGTAACGAGTTCCCCGGGCGCAAGGCGTCTTTACTACTCTATCTTGAGTTTGGCTGTGTACGCTAGCCACGCCCCGGTCAGGCTGTACTGTGTAGCTCGCTGGCAGTGCAGGCAAGCATCCACACTCTGGAACAATTGAGATACGCCCAGCATTGTGTCAATCGATAAAACACACATATGACGAGCCTTGACTGTGCCTCACTGCTGCCTGTACGACACTTAACGTGACTCACGACTTGTTCAAAAGCCAAAACGCATCCTGTCAAGGTATTTCCCTTCCTCTCACAAAGCCAACACGCCGCAACACTTGCGACATGGCAGATTACAGCTCTGACGAAGATTCCACAAGTTCCTCCGTCCCGATGAGACCCAAACAGAGCGCAGGGATATATCCACTGCCGATGCAGGGCGGCACGATAGCAGAAGTGTACGCGGCCGCCGGAGGGACAACAGGCGAAACCCCAGATGCCTCTAACCTCGTAAAGGTCGATCCCAAAGAAATCGGCATGTCTGTTGGACTGAAGCAGCTTTTCAGCGGTAAAGAGGACAAGAAAGGTCGCTTTCAGTGGCAGGCAACAATTCCGGAAGACCTTCCCAAGCCTGCTGAGGATGCCGAATCGGCAAAATGGGCGATCATTGTACGGAACGTCAGAGTATTCCACGATCCGAAGAAAGTTCTTTCGATGCACTCCATTGTCATACAAAGTCCATATCTGAAAGATCTACTCGCCGAAGTCCTGGCTGAATATCCGGGCGTGACGGCTCATCTTGCACGACTTGAGTTCACTGGCCGATTTGAACCGCTGATTCATCGTTGGTCTGAGTTGAAAAGCGCCATTCAAGCAATGAAAGACAAGCGTCTCGAGTCTCAGAAATTGCCACAAACCAATGGACACTCTTCGAAAGAGGTGGCGATCGATGCCGAAAAGTCTGAGGATGCTTCGTCCGACGCACAATCTTCAGCGCTCTCTAAAGACCCGGCCGAGCATGAGACGAATGGAAACGATGACGCAAGCTTGGACGAACGAATCAAACACGCGGAGCTCTTATACGACCTTCTCTCTAAGGAATTTGCGGACATCATTGAATCGTCAGTGGACATGAAAGAGAAGGGCGTCATCACCTACGAACTTCTCTGGACTCTTTTCCAGCCCGGAATGTTAGTCTACAGCAGGCAACAAGGCCAAGACCGCGTCTTCTCATTAAGTTCAGCGAGATACGGAGTAGACCGCGACAACAATCCTGTCTATTGGTTGATGTGCGAATACCATGATTGGGACGGAACGAATTTCGGAACGAACAGACTCAACATGGCCATCGGGATCTTCGAAGGCACGCGCTCGATCACTAGTCTACAGACACTTCCCTGGGATTCTCATGGTCACAAAGCAGATATCTACACCAAGCTTGTTGAACGTGGCACTCGAGTCGAAGAGCTTGCTGGATCCCACTACCGGAGCTATCACGGCATCGGATGGCGATTGAACAACATGGGCCGAAAGGAGAGATACAACATCAAAGGCCGTATCGTGATCGATACGCTAGGTTTTAATCGATTCAACCCTGATATGGCAGTCTATGTTTCTACCTTGAACAGCTCGGCAAAATCCAAACCTTCTTCCTGTCGTCGTATCCTAACGCCTTCAGGATTTATCAGCCTTAATCTTCCGCCAATGCCCGGCAGTCCGGTCGACGACTATGATCCTGGATATGACTTGGAGGATGGCGGCATGCCTGTGGATGGCTTCTTTGAGGACGAAACGAACGAGCGGCCCGCGAAGAAGCCGTTGACAGATCAGCAAAAGCTTTTGTTAAGTCCATTAGTCCGTGGCTACGCTTTGCAGGAGAAGCTTTGGTTGAATTTCTTCGTCACTGCTGTGCATGATGTCACATTCAACGAGCGCGCTTTTGATAGCTTGGTCTTGCCCAAGAATCAGAAAGAACTCATCCTTGGTTTCACATCGACACAGCAGGGTTATCGGAGTCAATTCGACGATGTCATCGAGGGCAAAGGTCGTGGTATAATTCTTTTGTTATGCGGTAAGTCACGCTCAACGTTGATCATGCGGCTGATAACTGACACACCCAATAGGCCCGCCAGGAGTGGGCAAAACACTCACAGCAGAATCCGTCGCCGAGGAAATGAGAGTTCCTCTGTTCATGATCTCATCCGGCGACCTCGGCCTAAGCCCCCGCCACATCGAGAAACAATTACAAGACATCCTCGACATGTGCACTCGGTGGAACGCAATCCTGCTCCTCGACGAAGCCGACGTGTTCCTCGAAGAGCGCAGCCTCCACGAACTAGAGCGCAACAAGCTCGTGACGATTTTCCTCCGAGTCCTCGAGTACTACGAGGGCATCATGTTCCTGACCACCAACCGCGTGGAGACCTTCGACGCCGCCTTCCAGAGCAGAATCCACATCAGTCTCGAATACAAAGAACTCGACGCCAAGAGCCGCGAATCCGTCTGGCAGAATTTCCTGCGCCAACACGACATCGCGCAAGCCGCCGCCCGCGAGAAACCTCCTCGACCCCTTGCGAGTGCTGCAAAAGCCAGCAGTAAGAGACTCGATGCAGCGGCAGCCGACGGAGGAGGGGGAGAAGAGCAATCCGCCGCGGCCCAGGAAGCTGCCAAAGCGCAACATCTCAAACTCACGCTCCCCCATGAAATCACGGAGAGGGATATGGTAAAGCTCGCGGCGCTGAGTATGAATGGTCGCCAGATTAAGAATATCCTCAAGACGGCGCAGCTTTTGGCGAGTCAGCGCGGCGAGGGGCTGAGCTACAAACATATCGACACCGTGATGGATGTCACGCAGCATTTGCACAATGCGAACCGGGAGAGTGCTGCGACGAAGTCTTCGCTTTTCTCTTGAGAAGGGTGAGATGAAGAAGATTTGTGATGAGCAGCGACTTTCCTCTAAAAATTGTGATGAAGAGAGAAGGCTTGGAAATTGTGAAATGAGGTTATGAGAATTTTATGATATGATAAATGAACTTGAATGAATCTCGTATGCCCCCAGCCAGACTTCAGTCTCTAGTAGACTTGAACGAGCTCAATAATAACTGCAGTGCAATGTCGAGTGATAGAACATCCTGACTCTATCTAGACAGACGCAAATGGGGTATCATCAAATAACAACATAAAAACCAACCGCTAAGCAAGACCCATAGAAATGTCCGCTCTATGCCCTTCCCTCCCGTGTATGTCGCACCAACCGTGACCCGCCCAGTCCCAGCGAACAGAAGAATTCAGAACATGCCCGGGAACCCCCCCGTCGCCGAAGAAGAAGACGAAGAATGCAGGACGAAATTCCCAACAAACGGCGGAATCGGCGCCGGATGGAAATTGCCATGCATATCCGTCCATCCTCCGGTCGGGAGAGGCGGCGCTGTCTGGTAGAATGTCTCGGGCAGATACCCGACGTCGTTCCACTGCTGCTGCGGCTGGTGCTGGTGCTGGTGCTGGTGCTGCGCCATCCACTCGTGACCTGGGGGAGCTGGCTGCATCGTCATTGGTGGGGCGATTTGCAGCTCCCACGTCGACGAGAGATGACGTTTGCCGATGGGACCCTGGGAATAGATGGTATTTAGTAGAGGAGGTAGGGAGAGAAAGTGTGAAGGACATACCTTTGGCCCGGTGCCTCGATCAGAATCCGACCCCAGAACCAGATCGTTGCTGTTGCTCTCGGACTCTCCGGCTGGTCGCTCTCCTTGCTGCATGTGCCACGTGCAAACTTGGCATTTCGACGTGAACATGAATGGCGCGGGCATTTGCATGCTGGAAGGAAGAAGAAGCGTCAGAATTGCGGCTTTGGGAAGATGGACAATACAGAGTCAGGCCAGGAGGGAGGGAGATTCACTTACAGGTTGAAGCAAAGCTTCCCCAAGCCGTCTGCAATGCCCTTGTACGCCGTCACGTCGAAGGCAGTGTTTCTACGCGAAGCTCGCACCAGTTCCTTGAGGAGTCCCTCATGGAAGCCCCGGCCGAAGATCTGGCGCCTTTCCAGCGCGGCGAATTGCCACTCGCACATTTGGAATGTCACCGTGCGAGGATGTGCGGAGCAGGGACACATGATGGTCCATTCGCCTTGCGGGAAGGCCATGATGCCGGGGCTCTTGACGCTGAGTAGGGCGTGGAAGTATCTGCTGCGGAAATCCACAGTCTCGATGCGGGAGAGGACGCGCGGCTCGAAGAGGTCGATGAACCGGCTGAACACGGCGACTGCACCGGGCATGTCCAGGTCAAGGATGAGGCTAAATTGTTTGGAAATTAGCATGTTTGGAGTTAGATGGGATGGTGCTGATGGAGGGATTTCTCGCTTACTTGGTGAGGTCGTAGCGGTTGTGGCGGGCGACAGAGACGACATCCGAAGGGACGTTCACAGAATGCAGGTGGTGGAGCAACTGCATGATGGGAAACGCATCCCCAGGATACAGGTCGGGCATTGTGCCGCAACCCTCGGAGCCAAGTCCGGGGTACTGGCCGGTCTGCTCGAGCCGCTCGATCTGCATGGTGGGTCGTTGTGGGGGGAGGGGGACCAGCGAAGGTGTTCGAGGTAAGCTGGTAGTGATTGTTGCGAGTGAAAAGAGGATGGAGTTGCGGAATATCTCTTCAGGATATTCTCCATCCTTACATACTTTTCCCTCGTGTTCAATTCTACCAGCTCCTGCAACACAATAACGTTTCGACTTTCTCGAAATGGACGGCTACTCCTCGAGGATATCGTGTGTTACGTTCCACTTTGGGCAGGTGGCAAGGTGTGTCTGGTGAAGTTGAGTTTCCATGATGAAACTCACCCGACACTTCGTAGGCAGATTCGTGCTCGTGCGAGGTCAATGCGATATTTTGCTTCGTGCTCAGCAGTCATCAACGCGCATGGTGTAGCGTTGAAGGATCCGAAGTCTTGTACTATATTTGTACGATTTTAGTCCGATGCATAATCGGGATGCTCAATGTACCCAGGGGGTTACGTGCTCAACGAGAGATAGAATACATTCGTATTTCTGCTCGTCGTCGGTGTCGGCACAAACGTCTCGACGCCATAAATATGGTGAATGGCCTGGCTTTGTTGATCAGGTGGAGGCCTGACACGAGCCGTTCTTTTCAAAAACGGCTGACTTCTGGTCTAATGGATTTTCCTCCAGCGTGAGGAATCTGGTCTCGATCCAGTTCTCTGCACGACATCCGGTGTTGTTCGGGGAGATGGAGTGGTCGTACAACCACCTGGACTTCCGAATCCGCTAGTGTAACAGGAATTACATCCAGGAGTCGTGCCTGCCTGAAACTGGTCGCATTGGGCAAGTATCGGTGCGAACGTAACAGGATTTGGTTAGTCGAAAACCATCATCGGGTCTTTCGAGCCTGTGCATCGGATGAGGAGGATTTGAAATTGTGTATTGGTTGAGGACCTCGTTCCGATGTTTTCCTTGCCCGAAAGCTCTTGCAGTACAGAGTCACAGGAGGAAGGAGTTCGAAGGAACACCTACGAGTTTGTGTAAGGTGGGAAGAAAATTATGAAGTCTTGTTTTTTCTCCATCCGGCACACACGGGGTAATTTGCGAGGCAGCCGCGGCCTGAGCGACGTGTTAATCCTCGAGGTGCATGTCACGGCATTTCGATACCATTCTTGTTGGTGCAAGGTAGCTTTCGGAATTAAGCGCCACCGCCATCTCGTTCTGTGCGCCGAGCTTCATGATGGATAGCGACTGGAGTGACCGCGGCCGGATTGCTCCAAAATCGAGCAATTACGACAGCAGAAGCAGCAGGAACAGAAATCGTTGCAGGTCTTCTTCGACGGCCTGCCTGAAAGTAGGCATGGGCATCCAGAGCGAGACAGAGTTGCGCTGACCAGACGCTCTGGTGCTGTGCCTACATATGACGTGTATGAGGCAAGTTTGATACCTCGTGCTGATTGGAGGACGTAAAGCGCCTCCGGCGGTACGACCTGGCACCATCGAGACGAGTGGTGGTTGCCGACGGCAGGTTGCACAGCTCCGTGGAGTGCGTCAGGCCATTATCTTCGTTCGGAAAGAGATTTGTGCCGTATCTGTCTCTGTCTCGCTTCAGGGTCTACACAATGCGGTCCCCGATGCGGTACCCAAAGGCGGTGGCAATGCTAAGTTGTACTGCCGTGTAGAATGACCCTTTGGCAGATAATATTGAATGCGGAACTCTTGAAGCATGGTCCGATACTGCATTCGTCCAATCTTAGAATCGACCTGATGTGGGTATACGAAGCTCAGCGCGAATCGTGTTTGCCGAATGTCTTATCACCAGTCCACAGGACGGGGACAAGCTTGGCAAAGGCGCCCACGACATCACAGACCTCCATTCTCTTGAAGAGGAGATCCCGTGTGTTGAAGTTTCCGCCCTCATGCAGACATCAAGAAGATGACGATACACCCTTCCTGATGTAAGTTGAAGCTTTAGTGTTCCTCGCCGATGGGTTGATATCTATGCGGAGAAGTACCGTTTGAGCGGAAAGCTCACAATGGTCGAAGTATATCTTCGTCGTGACGATGACTGATGTTGACCAAGCGAAGCCGAACTGGAAGTGGTGCGCTGCATGCGTGACACATCGTCATCGGCGGCGGCCTGAAGCCAGCCCATGATCGCATGTACAGCTCTTTGGTGGTCGAGTCTACGAGTGCGCCGTACCATCCATTAGCATGGTTCAATCGATCAGGGGCAGCGATGAACGCACCTTTGCTCAGAGTGATACCTGACACGCTCCAGCCCATGCATCCCAACAAAGACGATGGAACTGGTGTGACCGCGCGGCAACTCGACCGTGACGTCCGAGAAAGCTGTGGATTTCGCTCGAGACACGTTCGTAGCATCGCTGGAGATGACCTGTATCAGCTCTGGTATTGCACCATGAAAGGTCCGCGGCTACCATGAGTCGAGATCATGAGTGATGCAATTGCTATCTTGGAGGTGAAGGAATTGATATGCAAGAACGAGCCAGCAAACATCCGAGAAGAGACGCATGATGAGTATAAGAGCTCTCTCAGACTTATGGGGTCAGGATTTTGCATCCCTGCCGGAGAAAGCAAGCCCAATGCCGCAAAGAATTCTGAGGCGCTGTCCGTTTGCTTCATCCTTCGGCGAAGGTGAGCTACTCCAGGCGCTGTCGATGTACGATTTGCACACATGGCACTACAGCTCCGCTCGTGTTTCACATCGTGAGGTCTGCAAATTCTGGACGCTGGGATCACTACGCTGTTGGTCATCACCGAGAAGCAAGGGAATAGTACTTGTGAGCTGTGCGAGGGAAAGTCTTGCAGGGTATTTGCACTCACCAGAGGTGCAGCATCGGATGCCGGCAGTGTGATTTGAGTTAGCTGATTACGTTGGTTGTGGACAGCAGCGTGCTCGAAAGCAGGCAGTCGTAACCTAGAGATGATGCACATCTTTATCGCTACTGACGCCTCTCTGAATGGACGAGAGTCTGGTGTTGTGAAGCAGTGCACACACCAGGCTGCGCATAATTAATGAAATAACCTGTCGAAAGTGAGGCTTTGAGATATCTTTCGATTCACTTGGGCTGGCCGAGTGAGAGAGGAGTTGATCAGGACATAGCTACTTAAACTCAATATCAATGGTGGGCTCGATCCGACATTGTTGCCCAGTAACACCAGGAACTCTATGATGCAGCCAATATCCATGCTGACGCGGCGATGTTGTGCTTTGCAGCTACTTCGGAACGATTGCCGCTCAGTACGAGGGTAACACACCTGCAAGCTGTGTAAGGACTTGGGAAATTAGTACGGGGTCCATCGGGTCGCTGCATGGAGTCGCACAGCAGCAGGTATCATACAGGTTTGCCAAGCAGGCCACGGCGCTTGATGACGATCGGAGCCCGTTTTGTTCTCCTGTCGGACAAACGAGACGAAAACGTTTGTTCGACAGTGATACGCACCAGACACAAACAGTGATTTGCCTGATTCAGTTGACAAAAGCCTTGTGTCGGAAAGTGCGGCGTCATAGTGTTCAAGACGTTGAGAGGACACAAAACCAAAGGTATTGCAAGCATTCTTCTCACCGGTCAAGGTCGGATACGACATTGCCACTGATGGACACCCGGGCATAATTTTGCAGAGGTTGAGAAGACATCTCTTGCATCTTTCTTTACCATGATTCCCGATGAGGCCGTTCAACGGCGATCTTTGGCTGAGACCTCAGCTCTATGCCGAGCGACTACGGACACCTTCATTCTTTCAGAGTGAGATGGTCGTGTCTCAAAGGTTTTGAGGAGGAAGTCCTTAGTCGCTACTTTACAACACAGTTTCTCGTTCCTGCCATGGCGACCTACGCTACGTGTCGAGAGAATTATCATGATCCGACAGAGCAGGCCCCTCGTGTCTGAAAGACGTCCTACACGGTCCGACTTCGAAAGATGACTGAACATGCTCTTGTGAACAGACTGATAGCTCCCACTTCGATGGAGTCTTCGCCATGGATTTTGAGAATCACCTTCATCTGGAAACGATGAAGCCTTGGTAAAGGAGCGATGTCGGTGAAGTTTCGGACGGGACTCGGAATTGCGGCAATGAGAGAGCTCGATGACATAAGCGAGCGTGAAGATCTTAAAGCCAGCAGGTATGCCGAGAGTCTTTCGGCATGAGCAGATTAGGGCGCGGGCTGCGGTCTCGATCAAGAGAGTCTGGAGTATCAAAATTGCAAACCGACTCGCAAGTCAAGCATCTTCGAGATGATGACAACCAAAGACGATGTTGATCTCCGTGCGAAGACAAGTCAACGGTACGCACGTTGAATGCGCAGATCCAGGACTCCCTGTCACCACGTGGTGTCTGCTGGATTCATGCGCCGCGGGATAAGCGATGTTCGCATCAGTCTGCACACCCCTACAGTATCATAAGATGCAGCAACGCGACAAGGAATTACTCACACCCACACAGCATCTGTCAACCGGGCAGCTCAACGGCAATGTCTATCGGGACTGCGTGGCATATCGCCGATTCGAGCCTTGATGCGAGGCTACATGCGATCGGTTGTTCTGTGTCGCAATTGTCCAGAAGCACGCGATGAGCATATAGTTTCGGCTCCACGTCATTTCTCAATGGCGGGGCGAAGCACGCCATTTCGCGCGAACCTGCCGACACTCGACGTCGCGTACTTCTCTCTGCCTCTTTACAGTAGAGCGTCGACGATCGTCAGCATCGCCAACATTTTCTGAGACGCTTATTGGTCCATTAGGACTATCATTCGGGATGACATGGCTAATAGCTGTGCCGAAAAGACGAGCACGTCGAAGTAGAACAAATCGCGCGTGGAGCCAATACTTCAAAAATCAAGATATGTTGTCATTCTTCCACATTTTCTTCTTTTGATCGTCTACAATATCCCGTGTCTCTCATATGACCGTAGCGTTGAATCGGTATTTGAGCTACGTGTTTGGTGCAGCTCCAGAAGCTCTTCTCTCTCAAGCGCTTCTTCTTTTCCTTCTTTCTCATCTCATAATTCGCATTGGATCCAAACGGAAGACAATGCCTTCTTCCTTTGTCTCACTCCGCGCGGGTGATCATTCCTCTCGCGATGAGTATGGCGCAGCTTCTCCAGCTTCACCAGCGCGTAGCTTCGCTTCATTAGCTATCGGAAACAATGCCAACAGCTACAGCAATGGCTACAGCAACGGTCACAGCCACAGTCAGAGCAATGGCCACAGCAATGGCTATGCCAAACACCAGAGCAATGGCCATAGCAACGGCCACGTCAATGTCAAGTCTGACTCAGACGTGAACGGATTAAGCCGTGCAAGCCACGATGACGAGTTCCTCCGTCTCCCAGCTCCACAGCAGGACATCTTGCTCCTTCATGGCCCTCGCCAAAAATACTCACTAGAACGTGCCAGGGACATTCCTGAGCTGCGAGGAGATCGCGAGATTCTAGTCCAGGTTCTTGCTATCGGTCTCAACCCGGTCGACTGGAAGGGTGCAGATTATGGGTTCGGCCAGCCTAGCTACCCTTGGATCAATGGCCGTGATTTTGCAGGAATTGTCGTTCGCGCACCTCGCAAACAGAGTCGTGTCCAGCAGGGAGACGTAGTCTTCGGTGCATCCACCGACTATCGCGATGTCCGCAAGGCGGCTTACCAAGAGTATGTGGTGACAACCGACTACAACGTAACCAGAATTCCCCAGGGTGTCAGCGTGAAGGAAGGAGCCGCTCTTGGTGTCGCCTATGTCGCTGCCATCGTCTCTCTGGGAATCAGCTTTGGTCTCAACTTCGCACAACCACGCAACGGCGCACCGGCTGGTCCTGACCTTCTCCGACTCGTCCGCGAGCTTGAGCCCCGCAATATTCCCGAGGATGTCCGAGAGGAGATCTTCAGCGGTATCACCACCTCTGAGCGCCCTCACGCTGGCGAGTTCATCGCGATCTGGGGAGCCAACAGCATGACAGGCCAGATTGCTCTGCAGCTGTCCAAGCTCGCCGGACTACGCGTCATCGCAATTGCCGACATCGCAAAGGGCGGCGGCCGCCTGACTGAGCTCGGAGCCGACTTCCTTGTCGACAAATACGACACCAAGCGCGCAGTCGAGATCATTCGCACTGTCAGCGGTGGCAAGCTTCGCTTTGGCTTTGACGCCAATGGTGCAGACAGCGCTGCATTGCTGTCAGAGGCTCTTCAGAAGAATACTTCTGGACCCAAGTCCCACCTCCTGGGGCTGGGAGGCTTGCCGAAGCAGGCTGCGGCGGGCGTTGTCCACCACAAGGTCCCGATCAAGATCTTCCACGAAGACGCCAGTGCTGGTGAAGCTATCTCACAATGGCTGGAGGATCTTCTGATCGCTCGCAGCCTCAAATTGCCCGAGGTAGAGATTGCCGAGGGCGGCTTGTCCGGAATCAACGATGCCCTTGACCGCCTGCGCTCTGGCAAGATTGGAGGACGACGCATTGTTGTGCCTGTCAACAAAGAGAGTGGATCCCAATCACCTGTTCCACAAAACGGCAAAGACGTTCCCAACACTTTCGGTGTTCCCATCAGCGCCTCCGACTTCAGCTACGCAGACTCACTCAACAGCGATCCAGACCGCGTCAAGTTCGCTTACTGGGTTCCTAATGTGTCTGGTGGTCTCGTCATCAGTAAGATTGAGCAGCGAACACACTGGGACCACAAGTCCAACATCAAATACGGTCGTATCGCTGAGCGCAGTGGTTTCGAGTACGCCCTGTCGCAGATTCGTTTCATGGCTGGATATGGTGCAGACAACCAACACGAGCCCGTATCGCTCTCACAGGCTATTCTTGCTGGAACCGAGAGGCTCAAGCTCATCATCGCTCTGCTTCCTGGTCCGTGGAACCCAGCAATTGCTGCCAAGCAGATCGCATCGATCGATGTTTACAGTGAAGGCCGTACTGCTGTCAACATTGTCTCTGGCTGGTTCAAGCTCGAGGTAAGATACTTTCTATATCTGCGAGTGTCATCGTTGCTGACTTCTTCTTTCAGTTCACAAGCATTGGTCAATGGTGGCTAGACCACGCCGAGCGATACCGCCGCAGCAAAGAATTCATTCAGTGCCTCAAGGGTATCTGGACCGAGGATAGCTTCACCTTCAAGGGCGACTTCTACCAGTTCCACAACTACCCTCTGAAGCCCAAGCCCATCAGCTCACCTGGCCGTCCTCACCCAGAGATTTTCCAGGGTGGCAACAGTGATGACGCGAAGGAGAACGCTGGTAGTGTCTCTGACTTCTACTTCATGAACGGCAACACCCTCGAAGGTTTCCAGAGCCAGATCAAGGACGTCAATGAGCGTGCGAAAAAGAACGGTCGCGAGGGACAAGTTGGTTTTGCGTTGAACGGTTTCGTCATCTGCCGTGACACGGAGGAAGAGGCAATCCGCGTCTTGCAAGAAATTCAAGGCAAGGCAGATCCCGAGGCTGTGGAGGGCTTCCGTCAGCAAGTGCAGAACGCCGGTTCCTCTACGAGCAACAAGAGCGGCATGTGGGCCAACTCCAAATTCGAGGACCTTGTCCAATACAACGACGGTTTCAAGACGAAGCTTATCGGAACCAAGGAGCAGATCGCCGACCGCATCCTGCTGCTCAAGAGCTTGGGAGTGAACATCATCCTCACCGCGTTCCTTCATTACGAGGAAGAGATTGAGCAGTTCGGTCGCGAAGTGCTGCCGCTTGTTCGAAAGCTGGAGGCTCAAGGTCGTGGCAAGGACGTCGAGGATGAGATCCGACGCACCGGTGATGTTTACAAGGCGAAGAAGTAAGCGCTATTTCTCTTTAATGTTGGCTGTGTCATGGAAGGAATCGGATTTTGGAGAATATGTCATTGAAGGAAAAGACAAGGGACGAAAAGTTTGGGGAAGGATCAAAATGGTTGAATCTTCGATACATGGGGCGATTCGGGATACGTGAAATATGTAATCTAACGAAAGTACTTTACGTAGGAGTGAAACTTCTACCTCTACTAAAGGTGGTGATGGTGAGAAGAAACTGTCATCCGCGGAACCCACTACGTCTGCTGCACCCGCTGAGAAGAACGGCCAACCCACTTCTACTCCCTCATCCAACACGCAACCTCGTTCCTTCGCATCCATCGGTGCACCCGCTGCAGTTGATACACCCGTGCCTGGAATCAAGAATAAACCCTTCTCTTTCCTCGCTGACGAGCAGGATAAAGCCGACATCGTCAGGTCCATCGCGCAGCCCGAACGTGAAGAAACGAAGCCCACGCCAGCGAGGACATTCGAAACCATCACCTCTTCTGGAAAGACTGGTGCCCAGGCTAACGGCGAGACTGCCACTGATAAGACTGTCGCTCCTTCAACGGAAGAGCCCTCTTTCGTGCAGAAAGTCGTTGATAAGGTGGTCGACCATGCCCCCAAGAAGGTCCAGGAGAAGATCGGCCACGAAACTTCCAATGGCCACGCCGCCGAGAACGGCGTTCATGAGGAGATTCCAACGGCCTACGAGAGGGATGTGCGCCCCTCTACAGCTGTTCCTGAGAAGCCTCACCAAGAGTCCAAACAGGCTGCCGAGGCCGTAGAGCGTCCCTCCACGGCTGCTCACGAGAGAAAGGGCATCTGGGGCTCGATCCGTCGTCACATCAGCCTGAGAAAGTAGGACAACAAGTCTGAAGTCACTGCCGACGTGCTGATCTTGTTTTGTTTTGAGCCTTCGCGCGCGATCGTTGTGATTTTTTGCTTTTCCATACCCTTTTCAGCAAATTTCCCCAGTAACAATCCTTGCCTATTTTGCAAAATTTCAACGTCCATAGAGTTTAGAATTATACTACACTCCTCTCTACAAACCAAAACGCCAGTTCTCACTCGCGGGCCCGGAGCCCACATCCTGATTCATCTCGATCGCCTCAACCATCTGCGTGACACTAAGCTGCAACCAGCTCAGCATCCTCCCATTGAATTCCAACTGCTCCCGAATAGTCTTCAAATCCTTCCTCCCCCGATTCTCTAAATTAGCAGCGCTTTCCAAATTCGCAACATGGCCTCGATCCGATCTTGCCAGGTCCGAATCCTTAAGATAGCGGAGCTGATTATACTGTACGCGCATTGCGAAGACGAAAGCTTCGCCGTCCTGAGTCGACGCATACTCGCGTTCGATTCGTCGGATGTCTTCTCGTAAGGATTCTACGGGACTCATTAATTGCCGGATTTCAGAGAAGTTTTCTTCAGCGGTCTTTTCGAGGCGGTCTTTGAGGACGCACAGCTCGGATTTTTTGATGTGGTCTGTGTAAGGTGGGGGTGGGACGGCGTCGTGGATGAAGGCGAGTACTGATGGTTGGGATGAAGCTATACACGTGATTATCAGCATTGTTGATCGCGTTGCCCTCGGATATGGTGGTGAATCTCTTGCCTTGTTTCGGATGTTTTTGATGGTAAAGCTCGTGCTCACGAAATGTCTTCTTCTTCGACATCGTGAGATGGAGCTGCGCGGCCTGCGATGCGCGTGCTCCTTCGACGGATCGGCGCCTGCACAATCATCAATTTATTCGAGATCTGATCAATGTATACAGTCATTGTACATTGTTTGCTCTGCGCCGGCGAGCATATTTACGCGTTATGTTGTGCGACTCTAATCCCAGTCTGATTCGCCTGCAGGCTATTTATACTCCGCATGTGCATCGCTGTGGCTTCATGACAGCGAAGACCAGGTTTATGCGCCTCGACAAGGGAAGCGTTGAAGCGCGGATACAATATTTTCCGCGACGCCTTGCGTTTGCCGATGTATTCCTTGTCCAGCATGGAGCAATTTGGTGATAGGGGCTGCAGGCACTAATTTCGACGTTTTAGTGCCTGCCGACCGCACCATGGATCAGACTCGCCAGCAAAGCATACAGGTACAGAGGATTTCAGTGTCGCCAAAGTCCTGTCTATCGATCACCTCGGCAGTCCAGGTCCTCCGTTAGAGGGTCTCATCGGGAGCCACCTCGATGCTGCCGTCGCATTTCGAGTGTGGGAATACATCGCATGCCGGTGATGACATGGCGCTTCTACGAGACATCACTCGCCGAAATTCAAGCCACCGGGCGGTTGTGCAACATCACATCGTTGGAATGCAAGTTTGAAGAAAAGATTTCCGCTGAGATTTTCATCTCTGGCTCTGAGCTGAGTCTACCATTATATCGCATCCATAGGACGTGGATCATGAAACACACAACGTCCAATCATCGAAAAAGAAGTCGATTGTTCTGAAAAACTCGTAGGTAGGGAAATCAACGTCCACGCCAGGACCTAGATCCTGCCCCGGAAACGCCTGATCCATCAAAAGCGTCATGTTTGCAAGGACAGCGTCTGCAACGACCATGTCTTCAAACAAGAGTAAAGCCCATAGCGGCGTTTCGACATTTGGACCCGTTGACCAAACCTTGGTTGTCGGATAGAACAACGCGATCTGGGGAGTGAGCTCTATTTCTATATTTTAGTAGACTGTGAGACCAGCGCGCAGCATGGTTGAGCGTACTCGCCATATCAAAGATCACGCTGCCTTCGTAGTCGAAGTTGATCTTCAAGACATGTTTTGGCGTAGCAGCGATGATTGCCGGGATCATATCCATGTTCGCGCTCGCAAATTATGCTGTGGTCGGCGAGTGATCGTGGGATTGACTCGTTCACGGAATGTGCATCGTCAATGCAAACTTTGAACGCCTATATATATTCGTCTACAGTCCTTTCCACGAAATGTGCAAATGTGGCTACAAGCACGAGCACGAAGTTGCGGCAAGCTGCATCAGGCATTTTGTGCAATGTGATAGATCGACACTTATACTTGTGGGCGCACGTAGAGCAAATTACAGGGATTTGTCAACGTGCTAGACAACCTGAATGAGCAACTGAATCACGATACATGCTTTTATATCACTTAAGACCGTGGTACATTGAGTCACAATGTACTCAGCATGTACTATGCCGCCGGGAAAGCACTATGTGCTGACATTCAGCTAGTGTCGGTGGCACAATCTAGCGTCTTGCGTACTGCATGCCGTCTAGGTGCAATTCGATCGAGTGAATTTGTTCATAGATCGTATGCTTTTGCAGAGTCTTATCCTGCAGGTCTATAGCAGCAGCGCACTTATCCCAATATCGGCAGCAGTTCAACACGGTAACTAAGGAAAGACATGAAAAATCAAGTACTTGTGTATAGAGCAGTAGCCATCTTAGCAGAGGCGCAACTGATAATTCTATTCAGTCATAGTCCGGGCTCTGCCCGGCCCAAGTCACGCTCTTTGATAGTGCCACCACTTCGTCGCCCGAGATGATTTCGATGGTGTTTGTATTGATGAACTGGTCGGTCCGGTATATCTGGATGCTGTCTGGACCCAACGGCTTCCCAGCCAGCTTCCTCCTCTTCGAAGCCTCTTCTTTGCACAGCGCAGCCAGGTGGCTTTGGAGAACCGTTGTGGCTTCTTCGGTGAGGACGCCCAGGAGCAGAACGCTTTTGTCCTGAGGGTGGCCCGCATACTTCACGCCGTAGATAGCGAATTCAGGTAGCTTATTCTTGAGCAACAAGTTGGCAGCGACCAGTGTGATCACTGATAACAAGAATTAGCAACAATGAGAGAAGTTCATTCTTGATCCTGACAGCGCTGGTCGTCACTGGCCAATTCGGTCGCCGAGTTCACTTTGAGGATGTATCTGGGCTTTTCCTCGCTGGACGCCATGATGTTTCTCGGTAATCGGGTAAAAGTGTCGCTGATTTGAGGCAGCTATTTGAATCGAATATGGGAAGCCTGAACGAAAAGAAAGCGTTCAAGTTTGCGGATTATGGAAATATTTATGTTCCGCTCGATATTCCACCAGAAGTACTACGACTACTTGGCGCTACTGCGATGAGGTCGAGCAATAATAGTGCCATCAACGAACCGGACGAGTCCAATCACGTCGTCGACAGTTTGCTCGTTCATCGAGCAAATAAATGCAGGGATCTCGTTAGAGCAGGGACACTGCACACGGTCTGTCACAGGGACAGTCTTTGAACCGCCAGCGCTTAGAAGCCACAGACATCATCACATCACACCATCGGCGGAGAACCAAGTATCACTTTGAGTGAACGACGATCAATGCAAGGACGATCTCGGTCAAAGTTGAAGTACTCCGATACGCGACTAGGAGCATCTGGAATCGATGGTGCCACCGGCTGACATTCAAATAGCGTGCTAAAATAAGAGACAACATGAATCAGGTACACGGTGTTTAACCTGACCAATCCAGCCTATGAGCGAGTTCCTACATTGAAGTACTTATCCAGCCCTTGCGGAACCACTTCGTACCGCTACCTCAAGCCGCATCATTCCAATTCGCCGTTCTCATTCAATAAAGCGCCAGGCACGTAATCATGCTTCTCCCAATCCGCCAGTCCGATCTCAACGAATGGATCCTGAGCTTTCCTTTCCATCGCCCACTCCAGGCTCGTGAACCAGATGGTATTGCGACTAGACTCCTTCAAGACCTCCGGCAGTGCATCCTTGACCTCCTGAGCAAAGTACTTGTCGCGGAAGTAGATATAGAGGCCTCTGTATATGCTCGCGTGCCTCTCACGCTGCATCATCTCGTAGCCGATTGTCAAATTTTCGTACTTGCGTCCGATTGTGTCCTTAATGCTTTTGAGTGCCCCTGTTTCTTGTCAGATTTAGTTCAGAACGAGTGGGAGGATATAATTACACATGAACGTAGTGGGCTTATCGACGTGGGCCTCCAAGACATAAATCGAGTTTTCCTTCTTCACGACTTGAGGTGAATGGTCCTCTTCCTTGACTGCATGAGGCAATTGACCTTCTTCCTTGACAGCCTGATGTGCTTGATCGCCTGTCATTAGTGTGTCCGCATCTGTGACCTTGGACTTCCGGTCCTTCAACATTGATCGAGTTATTGCCATGACTGGAAATTGGGGTTTCCTTTGGTCTCATTTCACTCAGCTATTGGAAGGAGATATTTATGCTGCTCATTGATGGTCCCAGCTGCCCTCCATCAAGCCCTGTGCTCTTTGAGGAGCTTTGGCTTTGCTCGGTGTCCAGGTTCCATTGTAGACACAGAGGAAGCCGCGTTGACTTGTTGCCACACGTCAATCGATCACATAAGGTTGATGACCGGGAAGAGATTTACGACTCCTCAGCGCTTGTCGCAAGCATTCGTGCATCGCTACATAGTAGTTTGTTGGCCAGTGAACGTGCTAAGTCACGCATGATCGCTTTTGTAACTCATCGCCGGGTACCAGTCGCTCGAGAGAAAAGTGATTCGTGCGACATTCCAAACTCGGGCACTCCGAATCACGATGTGTGCCTCGGTAGATATCTTTTGCTGTTTAGAAATTATATTCTATTGTCACTTGACTTGACAAGGAATTTGAGCACGAGCAAGGCATGAGTCCTCTAGGTACCAGGACGAAGATAGGGTTACTACTAGACTGATCATATTCCTCAGCCATAGATAGCGAAATCTATCTGGTTCAAGCGTGAAGCTGTTGTGGTCTCATGCACCGTGCATTTGGAAGCGCTGGCGGCTAATGGTCAGATGTCATAGCCAAGCTTTCTCCGACAGCACTCGCTCGCCTGTTAGTGCTGTGACGTGGCGTACTATCCCCCCGACTTCACGTGTATCAGCGACGAGTATCTCGTACGATATGCTTCCCCACACATAGCACCGCGTGAGACAGGAATGAACGCAAATCCACCAGCTTCCGTCGTCAGCTAGAGGGAACATGAATCAAATTTCCATTTCCACTGCACTACCTATCTTGACCAGCTCTCATTCCGACATTGATCATCAAACCTATACCAATCTCGTCCTGATCCTCCCGTTCTTGCGTTCCTTTCAATCCAAGCTCTCCTTAAGAAACGCTCTCGCCGCGTCTGAATCGTTTTTTTTTGAACTTTATATATAAGACGTTGCCGTCCGGGCCGTCGTCTGTGCTCTCATCTGTGGCCTCGTCTGAATCTCTTGTAACGCTCGGCCGAGATACGAGAGACTCCTGTTCCCTCCGAGATCAGCTCCATGTTCAACTCGCGAAAGTGAGATGCAGCACGGTGGGCGACTCTCGACAGCGTAACTCACGCGTATATTTTGCTCGGGAATAGGCGTCTCCGATGAAAGCAATCTTCACCGTACACTTGGGAGGCGAAAACGATGAGTTTTCCATATCTCCTTGACTCTGTTGCAGGGATTTTGGTCTGTGTGAAAGGTTCATTCAATCGGTGGTAAAAGATCGCTTAGTATGCAGACAACTGTGAGATTTAGAGCCACCGAGGAAGGTGGGACATGTCGGCATGTATATATTCTTGGACTTGCATCGTCAACTTCGGCCCAGGCGGCCGATTCGGAATGCAAACTGGGATGGATGCCATTGGGAGAGATCTTATGCGAATATCACTCAGGCGCCATTTCACTTTGTCATCATCGCAGTGTACTATTTCATACACTCGAAACCTTTTCTAGACGTTCGTGGGATGAAGACCCTGTCCATGAAACAGCTGAATGTTTTGATAAAAGGTGAGCAAGAGCCTGCGTCTTGAAAGAGTCTCAAGTCTTGAACATGATCTCCAGGACAGTTTATATCGATACACCTGAGTAATGAATGAGATCAGCTCTCGTACTACGGAGGCTATGAACTCTTCTTGGATTCGGATCATGCCTGACACTGTTTCTGAAATCGGTCGTAGTGTAAGTACATGACTCTATTCCCATGCCAGAACATCGAGGCGAACAAATCGACAATACCTATACAAACACATCTTGACACCCCATGCATCTCAAGCACATTCCCTTAAAAGCCCCATAGCGGCTGTGCTACACTATATAATACAAGATCCTTCCGTTATTCTACTCGCAAGCGCTTCCTCTCTCAGCAAGGAAACATCTCCAATCCCCGAACAATCTTCCTATACTTCGTCCAACATGTGATTTCTTGCGAGAATTCCTTCGCGGCGTCCTCCCCGAAAAGCAACACCTTGATTTCCGTCGTGGCAGGATCACTCCAGAAAACGCGCGTCTTGCGAGTATTCAGATGACGATAGTGGTCAGCGTGCTCTTCGATGTCTCCCGCGAGTTCTATTGCTCACGAAGTTTTAGTTGACGTTTGATCATGGTATGAATATGAGATCGGGAAGGAACAGGGGGTGGCTTATCTTACCGACACGGAGAGCTGCGTTTTCGTCGTTGCTGATCAGTGTGACGCGTATCATATATCTCTGCTGAGGCACAGGAGGACGCGGAGATTTCGCGTTGGTTTTGGCGACTCTTGATGGGGTTGATGCGGTCTGAACCATTTCTCTCGCGTTGGCAGCAGCAGGGAGGAGTCTCGATTTCTCGGTTTGATCGCGGTGATCGCTTGGGGAAGACGCGGTGCAGCCCATTTCTTCTTCTTCTTTTGTACTTAATGCTGATGATGATGACGACGATGACGATGTCGATGCTGGTGATGACCTGGGGTTATTGAAAGATCTTCCAGAAATCTATGTGCGCTTTGATCCCTTGAGGCTGAGCCTGCAGCTACCTCCCCGTTCCTTCTGATGGGTGTGGTGTTGTCCTTGAAGCTGGCCTGCAGCTGACTCTCTGTATGATTATTTCTTCTGCGATCCGTGTAATGGGCGTGGATTAGGTAGATCTAGAAAGGAAAAAAGGTGAAGGGAAACCCAATCATCGGCGAGGACAAACAAGATCCAATTTGCTTGGGCAACAAGTTTTGACGACACAATCGGCGGACAACTTATATATTCCTCATCATTCACCCATCTGCAAGGCTGTAAAGGAACCTCACGAGACGAATGCCGGGATCGCATGTCGATGACAGCGGTGTACTACCAAGGTGCCCTCTGGCTTGCTAGCCGCTGTCGCCATGTCCATACGAGCGACTACATCATGATCGGAACGAAATCACAGCATAATGCGATGTCCCAGGAAGAGTACGGACTGAGCAACATCTTGAAACGAATGCCAGAATCGTCCCCAACAACGTCTGTAAAACGCCTGTCGCATAGACGCTGTCGCCACTCATCCAGGAGGGCAGCCATGACCTTCCAAGATTCGCACGAGGCGGCTGCGTGAACCAACGACGATCATGGCATTGTACGATGTTGTGTAGATTCTAGATGGTAGATGCCAAGAGCATCTCGACAACGAATGTCGCTTGGATTTATTTGTGTTCAGTGGCACGTACTTCACGGTCGGCGCAAGTTGATGTATTATCAGCCGCCGCCGTTTCGCCAGGATTGCACGTCTACTCTGATTTCGCACGAACGTACAGTACTTGCACCAGTGCCAGAGAATGATCGGAGTGATGTTCAAGAAATATGGAGGAAGAATTATAAGCGCCCGCGTTTTCCAGACCGATCCCGGGAGGGAGGCAGCTGGAGAGACGATACCTTAGGGTTGGGGTTGAAGGTCGGGATATCAAAGGGTTACGGAAGGGATATACTGTACTGTGATCTTTTCAACCGCGCGCGATGCTACTGCACCTGGGCCGTTTTCTACAGTGATGACAGACTCGATTCTGCTTCGTATGCTTTGCATGGAGAAGAGATGAAGGCGGTGACTGGACTGTTCCCTCCTCGCGGGCGGTGTGAGGACTGTCGTGTCTGATAGACGGGTGACACTGCGTTCGCTATAGTGTCGAATTGTGTCGAAAATATCGTTCGCGGATCGAGGGCATATCACGATCGTTACAGATCTACAGTATTCACGTGTAGTTCTCACATGTATTCCTTTATTATTGATGTGATTCTCAAGAATTCCATTTCGAGTGTAGATCCGCAGGTGGGGTGAGCAACGGTGACAATGACGGCGATGACGGCTACAGTACAGTACTCTACATGTCTGTTGAGAGGGCTGAGGGTGACAAGACCGTCTAGAATGCCGCCGATACCTCTCGGGCTTTTGGCACAGCAGCGATGATTGCGGAACGGGGATGGTTGTTTGGGAAAATTCTAGTGTATGAGAGGGCGGATGGGAGATGGTCTGACCTGTGGGAAGAGGTCCTCGAACGATCATATAACTGTGCCTGTGACGCGCTGGACGGACCCGACGACGGGAGGAAGCTGCAGAACTCTCTGCACGCTGGTGAATGAATGAATGAGTGGATGATTGAATGGGCAAAGGTTTCGTCGTCGACCCATCGGAGATCATCACGATGGCGCGCCCGGCGAATGTCAGATGCGGGCGCATGTTCACGATGTGTCTATGCATACAGCCTGGATAGCGGCGAGACTTTATTCACAAGCTCGCTCTCAACGGAATTCTCTTCGGGTGGTGGTGTGTGTGTGCGCATGTGTGTGTGTGTGCGTGTGTGTGTGGGTTTGCCTTGTCTCTTCTCCATGTGTCTCAAAATTTTGTTGTCGTCCGTCCTCCCAGGCTCGAGTACCCCGCCATGAGAGAGTTTTCCATCTCGCAAATACTGATCGGATTTAGATGATGTCGTGATCCTCGAGGTGGTCTTTCCTTGTCGATGCGAGTCACTGTCAGTAACCGCGTCGTGATAGACATTGATGATGAGCTGGCTTCGTCGCCGTCACCATCATCATCATCATCGTCGTGTGTGTGCATGTGCATCGGCGAACAAGGCTATGGATATGCGTATCGCGAACCATAGGTACAATGGGCGAATGGTTACGGAAGGCGCCCGCTTCCGCTGGTTGATGGCTGGCTGCGGTCGTGCCCCGCTATTTTATTTTGGGATTTGGTGGTGGAGGCGGAGGTGGAGGAAACAACAGGCCCAAGGAGACTGACTGACTGAGCCTCCTCGGCCTAAAACGAGGATGTTGCGCCGCATCTGACAGCAACGCGTCCCCCACAGACAGGTCGCTCAAGATCACCACCCATCTGTCCATCTCATCGCCGCCATTTAAGCATGAAAAATAATCGATGGGTGAGCCGGTGAAGGGAATTTGCTCCCGTGAGAATGTAAATGTCCCCTAGGCCAGCTAGCAATACTGTGATAAATCATAGTGGCAGCGCGCCTCTACGGAAAAGTCATGATTTTTTCCCCATCTGGAGAGACATGAGCTCGAACACGTCGTCTTGTCCGCCCATCGTCATCGCGCCGCTTGTTCCTGCTGTGTTCTCGAGCAAGGTTTCTCCCTAGTCTCAGGCCAAATCATCCTTGCCCAGCATTGACAGTAGCGTTGGCCGAAGGTGGCTGCAGATTCCCTTCTGCAGTAAAAGCTCGAAAGCTCAGTCGATTGGCGTCAAAGCTAATGGATTTTTTTTGGCCGATGACATCGTCATCGTCGCGAGCGGCGGCGTGGACGGGGAAGGCAATGATTGTTGTTGATACTGGCCTACCGATCACCCGGGTTATATTTATGTTCTGCAAAGCACTGGAGACCGGAGACGCTCCACAGCAGCGATGACCGTCCACTCGCATCTGGCGCCTGGGAGGCGATCATTCCGGAATCAAACTGGGTAGGCCTATCACACACACACACGCACGTATATCCCACACTGCCCAGCTGTGATTGTTTCTCACACGTGGATCGGCGTAGTCAACGAGAGAGATATGTTGGGCCCGGCGCTAAAACAGGAATCTTTTCCCACGATATGAGGTTTCGCCGCCGCCGCCGCCAATTCTGCCCTCCAGCTGCGGGACTGACCTAGACGCGTGTGGAGGACTGCACTATCGTGACTTCGTACTAGGTATGTAGTAGTTAGTACCTAGCATGCTGGACTCAGTGGACGGACGGACTATGTATGGATTGTACCTGGCATTTCGGAAACTTTGATTCGTTCACGTCACGTCTCATCATCATTCTTTGTCTCGCTCGTGTGGGGAGAGACTCTACTGCACCATGATGAAGAACGGCATCGTCATCATCTCCGATTGATGTCACCATGACCGCTCTGCGGCTCATCCTGCATGAATTCATGAAGCCTGCCAGGTGTACACCGATCCATCGTGAACTTTTTCCTCCCAGACCGACCCCGCCATCTCACATTCATCACTACTACTACTACTACTACCACCACCACTATTACTACCACTACTACTACTACTACTACTACTCTGCCTGTGGGAAGCTCCTCGAGCTACTACTCCTCGGGGATCATCCATCTCACGACGACGGGATTTGCCCGATAGCACAAATAGATCGTAGGCGTCAACCACTTGGCGGTGCTCGCGTTTCCCGTCGACCTGACGCGATGGTGCCTGTCTATCATAGATCTCCGCCATCCACAGGTGAGTGGACTATTTCCCATCGAGGCAAAAGCTCGAGCTCTCTTCCGAAACATCCTCAGTCGGCCCTGCGCCAATGTGTAGTCGGGCCGCAACCACACACGACTCTCGTCTGGGCTCAGCGGTAAGAGGTGAAGCACCGGCATAGCTCTCCTCTGTGTGAGGACCGCGTCGGGTGGTCGCTGCTCAGGATGCACAGCGCAGGTGGCCGAGCATGTCCAACTCATCAATGTCAGTCACTGCTGCTGCCGCCGCCCCAACACCTGACCAAGCTGGGCCCAAATGTCGGTCAATCCATGGGGAGATAGCATGGGAGGATAGCATGGCAGATACCGATCCAGCCTACAACATGCAATACAGTGCATCCGTCTTCGGGTAGGCAGCTGTGGGCGGTAGGTAGGTCCAGCGCGAGTAGCACGCGTCGTCCGGGTGTCGTGCCTACGATAGCCTTATGCCCAGCTCTTTTGCCCATCCCCATCCACCCATCGTCAGACTGCCGACCCATCACTGATGAGCAACCACACGTACACAGCGTAGACCGACTAACCGCTCATTGTTGCATCCATTCGTTCCACTTGCGCCTGTTTCCGTCTAGCTCTGTTCTTCTCGGCCTTCCTCTGAGCTGCTCCTCCCATCATTTATCTACTCCTCGTCCTCTCTCTTCCCTTCCTTTCTCTCTCATCACACACCAATCCACCATTCACATCACATCATGTCCGACAAGAAGCTTCCCGAGATCACGAGCGTCGCCCTCATTGGCTGCGGTGCCATGGGCGGTGGCCTCGCTCTCCTCTTCGCCGAGCAAGGCCTCGCCGTTGGTCTCCGTGACCCGCTCGAGTCCCAGATGGACAAGGTCATCGAGCAGGGTAAGAAGGACAACGTCAAGGGTAAAATCACCAAGTACTCCGACGACAAGGCCCTCTGCGCCGGCCTCACATCCCCCAAGACCTTCGTCTGGTCATTGCCTCACGGCGATGTCGGCGACCACGTCTTGGCCAACCTCCTGCCTTACCTCGAGAAGGGCGACATCATCATCGACTGCGCCAACGAGCACTACACCAACACTGAGCGGAGACAAGGCAAGTGCGGACCCAAGGGCATCCGTTACGTCGGTTGCGGTGTTTCCGGTGGTTACCAGGCAGCGTAAGTTTCTCTGATGCCGCTCAGTGGCACAGGCTTCGATTGTGATTCTCGCTGACATACGTTTTGCTCCGCAGCCGCCGAGGTCCTTCAATGTGCCCCGGCTCCGACGACGAGACCATGTCCATCGTCCTGCCCATCCTCTCGAAGATTGCCGCCAAGGCTCCCGATGGATCCCCTTGCGTCGCTCACATCGGTACCGGTGGTGGCGGTCACTACTGTAAGATGATTCACAACGGTATCGAGCACGGTATGATGTCCGCCATCGCCGAGGCCTGGGCCGTCATGTACAAGGGTCTTGGGATGGACCTCGACCAGGTCGGTGACGAGCTCCACAAGTGGAACAAGTCTGGTGAGCTCGAGGGCACTTTCCTCGTCCGCATCGGCGCCGAGATCTGCCAGACCAAGGCTCCTGATGGAACCCGCGTTCTCGAGACCGTCGAGGACAAGGTCGTCCAGGACTACTGCGGTGAGGAGGGCACCGGTATCTGGTCCAACACCGAGGCCGTCGACCACCACGTCCCCGCACCCACTTTGACCGCCTCCCACTACATGCGTGTCGCCTCCGCCGACCTCGCCCAGCGCCGCATCATCGAGAAGACCTTCGAGAACAAGACCTACCCTCCCCAGCCCATCGAGACCAAGGACAAGGCCGCCTTCCTCGAGGACCTCCGCCTCGCCACCTACATCGCCTGTCTGGCCTCGTTCGTCCAGGGCCTCAACGTCATCGACAAGGCCGACAAGGCCAACCACTACAACGTCGACTACGCCGCGCTCCTCCAGATCTGGCGCGCCGGCTGCATCATCCAGGCGGACTTCATCAGCGAGAAGCTGCTGCAGCCCATCTACAAGGGCTACGCGACCAAGAAGGAGAAGAACCCCCTGTACGAGCCCGTCATCGCCAAGGAGTTCTCCCGCTCCTACGACGCCCTCAAGCGCGTCGTCCTCGCCGCCACCGTCGCCGACCACCCCATCCCCGCCCTCGCCGCCACCCTCGACTACATCAAGTACCAGACCAGCACCGACCTGCCCACCGCCTTCTCCGAGGCCCAGCTCGACTACTTCGGCCGCCACATGTACGACATCAAGGGCCAGGACCCGGAGGGTCTGCCGGAGTTGGGCAAGCACCACTACGAGTGGAAGCCCGCGTAGATGTGAAAATGCACAAGAGCTCGGTTGTGGCGGTGGTGACAGCGGCGTGATGCGAGTGTCGGTCGCGCGGGGTGGGTTTTCCCGCTTTATTTTTTGGGGGGCGTCGGCTCTCTCATACCACTCTCGTATAGAGGGGGGGAGAGAGAGTGAATGGACCCCCCCTTTTCTCTCTATAGACACACAAATATCAAGCGCTTTTCAGTATGTGAAGAAAACCGTGCATCTCCTCCTCAGTGCAGATGATCTCCCCAAAAGGACTGATCGTGGACGGCTGCCGCGATGATGGCAGCATATCCGCTTTTGCACCTACATCCACCCATCCCGTCCGTCGAAAAGTGAACAGCATCCGTTCGCCATACGAGGCGGGTTTCGTAGAAGAAAATCAAAACTCCGTCTAACGTCTATCCCTGTGACACGAGACGCACTGTGTCCCGAGACAACATGAAACAGCAGCCACATAACGTGGCTGGGCTTGCTTATCAGCCACAATTGTCGCGAACGTCGTGACTGATGCGGCCTGTGGCTAATATGGCGCATGCTGGCGACTACAGGAACTCTTTCAGTAAGTTCGACTAGCCGCATGTCTAGAAGCTTCTGAACTCATCACATAAGACTATAAAATTGCATACCACCCGACAACCCATCTTGATGAGAAATCCGAGAATAAGAGCAGAGGAGACATGTTGTGTGGCAGGCAGATCAAGACTGGTTAATTACAGCAATCGGAAGTCACTCGACCGAGACAATGCCACAGGGACGCAGTACACACGAAGCCAGACAATAGTGTGTTTGAGCAATTTAGGTAAAATGAAAGCCGTGTATACATCGCAGCGCTTGCTTCGATCAACTTTAGCATCAAATGAAAGAAAGAGCTCGTCATGTTAATCCTCTGTGTATTCATCTTCTCCTGTCTTATTGATTGCACCTGCGAACAGCAGCAGCTGCACCACCGTCTCGTGGCCCTCGGAAGATGCGGCCTGGAGCGCGTTGCCGAAGGCTCCGCCCTGCGCGTTGACGTCGGCCTTGGCCTCCAGCAGCAGCTGCACCACCGTCTCGTGGCCGCCGTAAGATGCGGCCTGGAGCGCGTTGCCG